AGCATCTTAAAGACAATGTGTGACACCTTCGATTTGAGGTGACTTGTGGGTCAGAGAGGAGAGGGAATTTGTAAGCGGGAAAAGGCATTTAACTGAATGACAGTGACTGTTTTAATACGCTGCCATTCCCGAAGACCTTTGTCAAAAGGTAACCTTGGAATTTTGTTACTGACTTATCACTTCTGGTGTACTTTGACATTCTTCTGGTCTTCAGATATGTGTACAACCACTGTTAGGACACTTCTGTGTCTTTACAGCCGTGGTTACTGGAATTTGCATGGTTGGTAGAACAAAGAGGGAGGCAGATTGGTAAATCTTAGGCATCACTGGAGCCCCGTTAGGTTTTTCTGGTGTGTAAATCAAAGGCTGCTATGCAAAATGATTGGGTTTCTTTTTAAAATGAACTTCTGCTCTACGTTATGAAAGAGACTGATCACAGAGGCCTCATTTTAGTTACTTTGTCCTCTTTCACTTGCAAAGTCCTCTGTTTTGGTACACCAGTTGTCTGTTTTGTGAGTCAAGGTTAGTCTTGAACTTAGAAGATAAGAAGAATACTTACGGTTCCCCCCCACCTTGAATGTTTTCATGAGTAAACACAGGACGCTGTGGCTGAAATGAAATGATTTTCAATGTAATCAGCGTTTAAACTGGTACTAAGTAAAAGATAATTTGGATAATGGCATGGTACTTTTCTTGACATTTAATATTTCCTGTTGTAAAAAACCAAGAGGAAGGAAAAAAAACCAAATAAAGGGTTTCTGCAGGATTAATAATCCAAATATTTTGAAGGGTGCTTTGAATTAAATGAAAATAACCAAGGTTCAGATATTTGGAATGTATCTAGAATCTAGTCTGTTCAAGCTTTAAGGAAAAGCCAGGGTTTAGTCCCATTGATTTTTCAAAGGCCAGGAATATGGCAAGAACATAGACACCAAATCACTAGAATGGGAAATCTGGACACCTTCATACAACCTTATTCTTCAGCGTTTTCTCAAACAAGCGGAAAATAAACCACATTTAGTCTAACGGCAAAGTATCCACATTCATTCTACTTTTCCTTCACAGACAACATTTTCACATACAGTACGGATGAAAATGTAGATAGGCAGACATCCCATGCTACATTTGAATTAACACTCTCTGTTCTCAATGTTGAGAGAACACATGCATTTTTAGAAAGAGAAAACAGAGAACTTTAACTAGAGGGTAACAAACAATATCCAGGTAACATGTAACATTTTACCTTAGAAGAGAAATATTGGTAGAAATTCCCAGTGCACTGAACTCTCAAAAGAGTTTCCTTTCTTTTTAAACTAAGCATCAAGACCAGTATCTGTAATAGATACTTATAATATTGGAAATGACAAACCTTAGCATCCCACATATCCACACAAATATTGCAACGAATGAAAGTTAACATGTTTGTCGAATATGTAAACTCAACGTCGTTTCTACCGACTACCTAAATGTTACCATTTCAGGGAAAGAAAAATATTACAATTCATTCACAACACAGTTCAAAGACATCCTCTTCTAAATGATGGCTGCGTGCTAAAATGCGATAAGTAGGCGCTTGCATGACACTTATAAAAGTGACTTCTTGATGACCACTGAGTTAGATGGATCCATGTCCTTAGACATCAGGGCCAATTCGTGGGTCCCTGCATTATGAGTGGATTACTGACAGGCTGGCAATTTTACCCTGCAAATTGTCCATAAAAATCCCACTGGTCCAAGAATGGATGGAGAACTCTGGGGTTCCTTTCAGTCTATGAGTCTATAATTTCCTCCCCTTCCTCAATTCTGTATTCACTCCCCTCCCATCCAAGTTGTCTTTGTAGCATAAGAAGGTGAGGCACTTAGAGCACCTGGGTGACTCAGTCGGTTGAGCGTCTGACTTCGGCTCAGGTCATGATCTCACAGGTTCATGAGTTCGAGCCCCACATCGGGCTTACTGCTGGCAGCTGTCAACACAGAGCCCGCTTCATATCCTCTGTCCCTCTCTCTTTGCCCCTTCCCCGCTTGTGCTCTCTCAAAAATACATAACCATTAAAAAAAAAAAAAAAAAAAAGGATACCAGGCACTTACATTACTAAAACTTTAAGCATTCAGTCTATTAATTGGAAGTGTTTACTTTTTAGAAATTTCACTCAGCAGTCTGTGCATGGAATATATAAACCTAAGACTACAGAGTGGATGGAAATGATTGGAAACGTGTATGGCTTAAGAATACAAAACTTCTATAAATCAATATAAAATTACTTGCAATGTATGTATTATTAAAATGATAAAATATACTATTTTAAGAAAAGTCAAAACTAAACCGTTTTCTAACCATTTTAAGGCCATTTAATTCAATATAAATATATTGAATAATTCTATAATTCTTATATATAAATAATACATACATAAAAATATAAATAAGTAAATATTATATGTAAAATAAATATAAGCCATCCACAAGCCTATATCCTATTAAATTTCTTCAAATCCTCATCCAATCATATATATATATATATATAACTTTTATGCAGAAATAAAATACATATATATCAATTACTATTAATATTTTCTGATAGTTGTCTAGTCTTCTTTTTCATTTGAAGCCACTGCAGAATAATATGCCCTCACGTTGGTGTAGATATATTTTTTTAGTTTTCCTAACCATTTCCCTTTTTTGTTTTCGAAGTTAAGTTTAGTCTAGCCTTTTTACACGTTCATAAGCAGCAATGCTATAAACATTTTTATACAAAGGATTATTTACTTCTTTTGGACATTCTTTAGAACACACTTCCAGGAGTAAAATTTCTGGCCAAAGATTATACACTCAAGGCACATGATATTGAAAATGCTCATGTTAATCGCTCAAAAACATTTAAAAATGGAATTAAAAAAATCAAAATGCTGTATTTCAAAGCCCATTCAAGGACAGCTACTGTTGTCTCGCAAAAACATCATAGCACCAGTTACAGTGCAGAGCAAAGTTATAAATAAGAAAATATGATCTGATGATCTTTTCTTATCTTCAGAGAAAGTGTTTTGTAAAATGTATTTCGTTGTGCTCTTTCTACAAGTTTAAGTCATTCTAATATTTTTAAGTTGAGTAAAAGTGTTACTTTTCTATCATGGCATCCGGTGCTTGGTAAATCTGGGAGGTCGAATTTCATTGCTCTTTTCTGTTAAATGTGAATATGACTTAATTTTTTAATTTTCTTAAACGTTTATTCATTTTTGAGAGAGAGACATACACACACAGAGTGCGAGGCGGAGAGGAACAGAGAGAGAGAGGGAGACACAGAATCTGAAGCAGTCTCTAAGCTCCGAGCTATCAGCACAGAGCCTGACATGGGGCTCGAACCTACGAACCATGAGATCAGGACCTAAGCTGAAGTCAGATTCTTAACCGACTGAGCCACCCAGGTGCCCCTAAATATGGCGTTAAAAATCAGATTGTTCATTGAAATAAAACAATCTACTTTTAAAGTCCACATGGGACCTCTTGTTGTCATCATTACAATTCTACTTTAATTCCTTTAATTCAACTCACACCATAAGTTATTTAAATGAATCATCCCTTTGACAACTGGGAACACGGGGCTGTTGCCAGAAGTATGTGGCTCCCTTAATGCCACAGGGGTCTATGTCTCAAGGGGACTCACGTTCCTGGGCAAGCCAGCCAGTAACGTCCTTGTTTTTACCAATCCTTCGCAGTATGTCTTTTCTCTTCCTTTATAGCCTTTAATGAACCTCCCACCCCCTTTTCTGACTTACCAGGTCTCTATACTGTTCACATGCTCAGGCCAAGATTTATCGCAGCCTTTATTAGCACTATTATCTTGGTAACTTCAGGAACTTTTCTAAGTTTACCTTTAACAGGAATCATCTCCATGTGAATCTGGATAGTTAGGAACCAGTTTTGAGGAAATGTGACTAGCTACAGTATTTGAATTAACTTATTTAAAAAATATTTGGTCCATAGAGGAACAAGTAGCATTAATAGGGCACATTCCTGTCTTCATGGTATTGGCACTGACTACCAGTGTAGCCTTGGATATGTGCCTGAGCTTCCTTTTCTCTAAAACCAAAGAGTTGGTCAGGATGGTGATTAGAATCTTGTCCCCCTCAGGGAATCCGTTCCCACAGACACACTTCCTCCGTTATGTATAGGTGCCCTCATCAACCTTAACCCTCTGTTGTCAGAGAGCTGTGCCAATTAATTCTCAAGTGTCCCAGTCCTGTAAAAACAGTCATGGTAACAATTCAGCTTCATTTTTCAGATCAGTGAACCCAAACTCAAAGATCATTTCTTAAATCACAAATAAGTAAAAAGAAGAAACAGAATTAAAATGTTGACTGGCACTCATAGTAAAAGATGACTGTGATGGATAAGGTGGATCAGCATCTTTATTTTGTCTTTTAGGCAGGTGTTTATGTTCTATATGGATACACAAGCCAATTATCTTAGGAGACTATCTTTTGCCTTTCCCCCCGCCCTGGTGTTAGAAGGCGCAAACCTTGAGGAAAAGATCTGTAACTTATTTGCGCTCTATTGCCACCGAATGGTGATTAGTGGAAGCAACATGCTAAAAGTTTCTGCCTTCGGACAGCTCTCTCACAAAGTTCGTTCCTTCAGCCTGGATTCGTTTTGAAAGGCTACTTTAAAGACCACAGAACGCTGTGGAATAGATATTCATGTGTCTTTCTGACTACCTACTTCCCTTCCCGTGTTTTAAATTCTTGAGAAAAGATCTCTGTGTAGCCACCCGTATTTTAGGTCTGTGCTTGTTTCTGTTTTAACTCTGCTCATTACTCATAACTTCTTAGCAGTGTTGTGAGCAATATAGAATATACACTTGTGGCATTCAGAGAGTCCTACATGTGTCTTAAGAGAATAGTAAAATTGGAAAACCCAATGAAGCGCCATGTTGTTTTCATGGAATCCTCAATATTTAACTTTTTTCCTTGGCAATGTAGCCATCTTTTTTTTTTTTTTCCTCTCTCTCTCTCTTTTAGTGTAGCTATTTTTTTTTAAATTATCAAAAGCAGATACAAATGGGACAAGTTTTAAGCACACGCTAATATTCAAAGCCAGAACCAACCTAACCATGAGGGAACTGGTCTGAAATATCCTAGAATCTCTGGTTTCAGTAAAACATCTACTTGCCTAGCTCAGATGGGGAGATGCAGTCTGTCCAGAAGCCATTTGTCTATCTGTGCTTCGGCAGAGGCATTTCTGGTAGCTCTATCTAGTATTTGGTGATTCTTGAGTGAGGATTGGCTGTTACTTTAAATACTAATGTGGAAGAATATTTGAAAGAGTTATAAGCACTTCTAGAGTTTTTCAGTCAGTTTTTTTCCAGAAAATGTTAGGTGTAGTATTTGCCAACCAGAATTCGATGACATTCCCCTAATAACAGTCCCATGTTTATGTTTATAGGATTATTTTTCCTTCTTAATTGATGGTATACAACTTTGGATGAATCTAAAGAATATAGAAAATGTATGTTCCACCCAAACACATATAAGTACATAATGTATACATCTGGCAAAGAAAAAAAACTTGAGGTGACCCAAAACATAGCATCTCATTGACCCATGGGAAATTTATGGCTGGGCCACATTAATTGTGGAAAAATCTTTCTTTTTGTTTTGGCTCTAGAAGGTCCTTGTGTGAGTGAGTCTAAGAATCCCTTCAAATCAACATTCCTCTTTCTCTACGGCAACCCAAATCTCTACCTCAGAAACAAAGCGAGGTCTCATTATGCAAAGCAAAAAGCACAAAATTGGCATAAACACAGAGAGGTATCTACATTTTTTGAAAGTAGAAAAGGAAATCCTCTTTGCAATCAATTGGGCCCTTAAATATTTGCAAAGCATAGTCATGTAATAGACCAGGTGAGGTTAAACCAGGGTTTATCAAATAGAAATGGTGAAAAGACTGACTTTTGAGGAGATGGAAATCCCTACAAGCCTTGGCTGCCTTCCCCAGAACTGATAACACCATTTACAACCCATTCATAGGAAAGTGCTTTTGATGTGATGTTACAGAACCAAAGAGTTACAGGGGAAAGTAATTTCACCCTTAAATTCAATCAAAGCTGTCAAGAGCCTGGGAGTATCTGGAGTCCAGGGCAGTAGCATTGGCTTAAAAAGCGTCATGGAGTGAATGTAGCACACATCACCAGAGCAACAGGGTATTTCGCAACAAGAATCGTGGATTTAAAGGGAAAAACAAAACAAAACAAGAAACTGAAATAAACGGAATGCCACAGAAGCAAACATCACTGGAAGCGTGCGAGTTCAGTATATGATTGGTAGCAGCCTTATTCTTCGCACTAAAAACCGTAACTGGAAAACAGCGATTTACAGAGAACGTGGAAGCCTGAGACGGACGTAGAAGACGACATACGCTACGCCCTCCTTTGTACCATGAGAATCTGGTCAGACCTTTTTGGATTTTGGAAAGCTTACACACACACACACACACACACACACACACACAAAAGGAAAACACATTGCTTAAAGACAGCAGAGGATTTTTGTGTTGATCTGATTTCATAGCTCATCATGGTTGGGGTCACTTTGTCTCAAGGGTACCTCTGGCCCTACTTTACGGGCAAAGCACAGCAATGACAATTAAGGAGGAGCCACCCACTGGGGGCGAATGGCCAGGGTGCCTGGCTCAAGGTGGGGCGTTCTGACCCTACCCTGTGGGAACCGCTGAGCCCTCTGACAGGTGAGCTGCAGTGTCTCCTAGACATCACTGGGCTACGCGGAGGCTTACCCAAGACAAATATCTCGCTTTTTAAGTCAGCCTGGAAAAGCCATAAGAGGTTAGTTAGTTCTTGTCTTCGGTTTACAGCCTTCAGGAGAAGCTTTCCTGATTTTGTTTTTTCATGCACACGCACACGCAGCATGCCAAACTCTTGCATAGCAGCGGAGCGGGAAGGGTTCACCAGTCTGCAGACAGCTCTTTGGCTGCCTGTAGGTTTCACGCCACAGGCGTCAGGTGCCGCTTTCATACAGAACTCAACAGGCACAGCAGAGAAAGACTTTCAGAGAGAAGCTGGCACAAAGACGATGTTTGAGTGCGATATCGATGGCTAAGAACACATACAAGAATTTGTACGTCTTTAATAGAATGTTTAACAGTGGGATTCAAGACACCCTCAGATTGGACCTGGGTTTTTTTTTGTGTGTGTGTGCACATTTGAGTAGATGCAAGGTAAAATAGAGGGGAATTTCACTCAATACCCATAAAGTTTCGTAAAAAGTCTCAACTGCTTGTCGGGGCAAATTTTCTGACAAAACACAGAGGAAGAAAACACGGCTTCTCTGGGGGGAAAATGGTGAAATATAATTAAATACTGAATATTGTCCTGACTCCACCTTGTGACTATTTTGGCGTTCTTCCAAAGTAAGATTTTTAATAGGACAGTGAATAAGCTAACCTTTCTTGTGTGTGAGTATGCTTTATTTTCTTTCCAGGAGTGGACAGGATCTACCACTTGTCCTTGACAAGTATTTGAGTCCCTTATGGGAACTTTAGCGGGACTAGAGAAAGGACTCTTCAATAAAAACATGATTTTCTAAACTCTCACTGAAGAAAGTTTTTATAATGACTGACCTCAAATCTGCAGTCTGTGGATACGAAATGCATTAAGCATTTTTCTCTAAAGGGTTATGGCAGAGAATGCTTGATGTGTTCCAGTATCTGTTCTTTTCTTGTCTGTCCTCTGTCCTAGAATCCTGATAGGCACATGGACCTTCTGAATAAAGTCTTCCTTGGATCTAAATGTGCTCATGTGATAAGTTCTGACAGACGGGATACACAATAGGAAGGGGCTGCGAGAGCTGGTGCAAGCACTTTGGACCAGGCGGTGGAGGCTTCTCACTGGGGAGATGATGTGCAAAAATCAAATGGAATCTCCTGGGTTTTCTGATGATTCTGGAGCCACATACCAGCCCTGGATGCCCGACACTTAGGTACCAGAGAAATATACTTGTATGTTGTTTAAGCTGTTGTTATTTTGAGTTTTTTGGCACAGCAGCTGTCCCCATTTCGACTGATGCGGGGATGGGTTCTACAAACATCAAGGCTCATAGAGGAAAAAAGACATTTAGCTGTTAGAATGATGTGGACAAACAGCTGGAAAGATCATTTGAACATATTAGGAAGAATCAGGGCTTAATTCCATGTTGGAAACCGTGCTCAAGGGGGTCACTCTCTGATGGGATGGCTTTAGAGCGAGGAGACTTCCCAATGGGCCCACAAAAATTGAGTTTCTTGGAAGAAGCCCAAAGAAGAGTCCTTCTATCTCTTCATAAAGAGTCCACATGCCATAAGTCTCTTAGATGGAATTGGAAGTTCGGCTTATAGGAGAACTGAGAATTATGATAATTTTTATTATGAAAAACCATTATTTAAAAAAAGATGCTCAAAATAGAAGAGAGGATATTGGTTTCTGATTTATATATTGCTCATAATTTATATGTACATTTTCAGCCTTCTGTCATCTATAACGTGTTGGTGAATTTTGCGTTTATGGAAGATTTTGGTTTGGATATGACAGGTTTACATTGTCTCAGAAGATACTTCACAGGAGTAAAATTGCATTAAATTTTATTAAAAGAATAAAAGTGCATTAAATGGTTGATAAGGATTGATAAAAGTGTAATGATTCGTGCATACTATGCTATACCTACTAAAACATTATTAAAATTTTATTTTATCTTTGCTTTTAGTGCAGGGTTACTTTCTTGGTAATGAGCATAACGTGTAACATTCTTGAAATGGAAGAAATAGGAAGGCTTCTTAGAGGACTCAAGCCTCCACAGTTTATCAGTATCAGACGTGGGGTTAAACTATAATAATGGCCTGAGATTTGCAGCTGTTTCAATTTGCATTTATATTTACAATAAGCACCAACGAATTCATCAACTTATATCTTTCCAATGAATAGAAGAAGACATTTATAAGGTTTTCAAAAACTCAGTGGGGGAGATAGAAAGTTATCATTTGCTCTTGAGTATGAGATAAAATAGAGAAAAAAACCACTTCATTTTTCTGGAGTTAATTATTTGATGTAGTTATGAAAAGTATTCTTTGGAAACATTGTTATTGTAAATATGTCCATTCTCTCATACCATTCTGCAAACAACTGACACCTAACGTGTGTATCAGTTGAGCTTGGTTCTTAAAGAATGAACTCGCATAAATCTTGGTTTTGTCCTTGATAGTACAATGGCAGTGAGTGATCTTTATCTCTCTAAATTCTAAAAATCCAAACTGATTCTAAAGTTATTTAGCCATTTATTGACTAAGTTTAAGGGCTAAAGAACAAGTAGGGAAAGACAGGGAATAAATACTTTGGCCTTAAAAAGAGAACCACAGAAGGAATGGGGGCGGGGAGGGCGGGGCAAATTCTTGGTCTTAGATAATATCTAAAGTATTATTATTTTTATTTCCTAATTATTTCATGCCGGCCAAAATGAAATCTCAAAGGGCAAAGAGCAACTAGTCTTTAAACTATTCCACTTTTTCAAAAATTCCTTTCACACATAAGATGAATTCACATTCACATTGGACTATTTTGTTGGATGGGGTTAGTGATGGGAGTTGGGAGTATCGTGCAGATGGCATTTCTCTGGTGTTGGTGCTTCCTGGTAAAGAAACTCGACTCTACCAGAGCCTTCGAGTTTTCCCTTAACTGCAGAGGCTCTCATTCACATTCAAAACATTGGATGTGAGGATGGGTTATTATTTGAAGTCTATCACCTTTTGTCTAAAGGAAGAGATTTCAGGATCATGCTGATTGTAGAAGCCAAGCTTTTCTGTGATGGAGTCATTTCATGCTGTGGTTGTCATTAAATGTCTTTCCAGGGCCAGTCATTAATTTTGCTGAAAGTCTCTTTTACTGGTGTCCTTATGGGGAGTTGAAAATCAGGAGAACTGCCAGCCCGCAAGGCTCTGAGTTGGGTGCTTTGTTAACTGTTAACCAAGGGAAGTATCATTCCTGCATCCTCATTAATTTACTTCAGTTTTGTGGAAGACTAGAGCTCAAGACAGTACTGAAGATCATCCTGCCCTCGGGCTCTGCTGAACCTGCTGATGGCTGAGAAATGTGGGAGGCAGTGAGCCCACTGAGAAGTGACAGGAGATGACAGGCACCAAGCTGATGTCTTTGAATGGGATGGTTCTCCAAAAAAATACCTAATGGTTGCTTTTTATTTTTCTATGTAAAATTGAGTCTGGGTATGCAAGCGTGTCTTTTAAATTTTTGGGATAGAGGCCATGCCAATGATGTTAAAAAGTTAGCAACCAATATTTACACGACTTCTTAGAACTTGTAAGATGGCACAAATCTAAATACATCTAATTAATAAAATTCATTTAAAGGCATGCAATAAACCACACTCGGGATGCAGTTACCTTTAATTTTGGTGAATTTATCTCCTGTTGATAAGGGTATTTAGGGAGAAGGGGAGGTGTGTAGGGCTGGGTAGTCTGAGAAAGTGTAGAGGCCAAGTCAGAGACAGAGGCCCAGGGAGAATGGAAAGGAAGGGAGGGAAGGACACAGCTGGGAAAAGGTGTAGACGTTCGATCTCCCGGAGAAGATGAAGGCGGCTTAAAGATTGAGGAAAGACAAGATGTGATTACGCTTGTGCCCAGAATGAGGTTATGTGGTCTTTAGAGAATATCCCCCAAAGTTGAATAATGTTCAAGTTACCAAATGCCCTGGGAAGTGACATTTATGACAAATTCTTGCTTTAAATTCTTGCTTAACTTTTTCTTTCGAATCTGACTCAAAATCCCCAGTGAGCGTGATCATTTTTCTGATGTGGGTGGCTGGACAGAAGAACCCCCCATAGTCTACAATTTTAGAATATATTTACAGGATGGCTGCTTCTAAACATGAAGGAAAAACTACAAACCTGCAATGACTCTTTGTTACTTGCTTGTAAAGTAGATTACGATTTCTAGCTGGTTAGTTACAAAGCCGGGGAACTGATGTGTGCCAGCAGCTATTTGAATAACTGACTTAGAAACATGCTTGACTTTCTGTAATGAATGATCTCTTTTGCTAAGTAGTGTATTTGTTTTATTTTATACAAATACAGGCATGGCTGGGTTCTTTGTGCAGATGACCTTTTCTCTCCTGGTTGAGGAACTAGCCAAGCCTCGGGGTTTTGTGGATGTCCAGGGGTCTCATGGGCACTGATCATTATTTAAGCCCAAGAACGTCCTATAGTACAGGCCACATGCCTCTATATTTGTTATTGGCAAGGTCTTAATAGAAAACTATGGGATTTTAAAAATTATTTTTGTTTTCTAAGATTTTAAAATAGACGATCCACGGGGGAAAGTGACTGCAGAGTAGCATGATATAAAACATTTTGTTTCCTAATTTCAGTATTTGCCAGTAATCGTATTTTCTTTCTAAATTACGGGTTACATATATGTGAGAAATGAAGTTTTGTTTTTGTCTTAAGAGAAAAATTTACCAACTAAAGATTTAGGGTATGTCCCCTCTTTACTAATGAAAATCATTGCTCAAGATTCTTTGTAAGATGAAAATGCATTAGTAGTCTTAAGTGGTCACCAACCTGAAGAACTTATTTCTTCCGAGAGTTAAAAGGGTACCGGCATGCCTTTTGGTTCTGTCTCTCTCCCTTTTTACAAACGGCCATTGGAATTGGACTCGTCTCTCTGTGTATCAGTTTTCTAATTTCTCACGTGGGGCTGATAAGATAACCCATCTCATTGACGAAGAGTTCTTAGAACACTGTCTGATACTCAGTAAGAGTTCAACTATGTAGCTATCATTATTAATAACAAAAAGTCAGGAAGACTATCAATTATAGACTGTTTAAAATATGAATTTCTAGTCACAAACAAATAATGGAATGACATCAGACATTTACAGCATCTTACTAAAATTTGGTGAGTTTCCATACGCCCCTCCACCCCCAACTTACGTAGTGCTTGTGTTTCTTAGGAGGAAGCCTTTTAGGGCAATGCCAAAATTGACGTTTAGTAATGTGATTAACTGTGCTAGCTAAATACAGTTAAGACGGGTTAGTTCTTTGGTAATTAGGTAAGGTTAAAATACCTCAGTACTGGTTTTCACTGCACTGCTGTCTTCCTTAGGGATCCTAGGGTCTGTGGGGGTGGCTACTGGATATTTTAAACCGTCAGGTTGCCTCTCTTCTTCCTCCTCTTCGATGTGCAGGCTTGGTGTCACCTCTGTGCCGTCGCGGGCACACCACGAGGCATCCGGTTCTCGACACTCTGGCCTTCTTCGGATGCCTGACAGAAACCCCTCATAGATATCCTCATCTTCCTCTCCGATGGCGGGGAGACTTTTGGGCAAGGGAGCCACATTAGTGTGTGCAGAGGCCACAAACTTGTCACCTAGGACTTCGGGTACTTTCTCAGGGCCTCCAAAGCCCTTTCGTATTTTTGTCAAACCTGCACATTTGTTCTGAGTTGTCTTTCTGGGGTCTTGAAGTGGTGTCGCCGCAGAAGGCCAGACTGCAACTGAAGTCACCCCTGAGCGGGGGAAAGGCAGCACAGAAGGGGATTTGGCAGGTGCAGATGCTGGAGGCAAGGGGAGGAGATCTGAGGGCTCCTCCTGAATCTCGAGGATGATCTCCTCTAGGATATTTGGTTTGGCTCGGTCGGCTGGTGAGGTTAAAGCACCAAGCTTCTCCAATTCATCCAAGAAATTGTCCAGAGAGTGAGGCGGTGTTGGGGTCAAAGGATTTGCCGGTGGGCACTCGGCTGTCAGACGCAGCCGCCCCTGGGCTGTTCTATCTGAGCCCGGTGAAGCTTTGTGCATGGGAGGAGGGGCTGGTTCACTGAAAGCCAACTTAGAAACGAGCAGGGATTATAAGGTTAAAATGTAAACCAAGAAAATCGTACATCAAAACACAGAGACAGAGAAATGCAGGGAAGTGGTGGTAATGAATAGAAACATATTTTACGCTGTGGTCTCGATTTGTGGATATTTTTGCGGAATTTAAATAAAATCCTTCGCATGTTAACTGGAAGGTTATCTGAACGACGAAACTCTCCTAGTATTTGGAAGGGGTCTCAGGTGTCAAATGATAAGGTAAAGCTGTAGTAGCGATAAGAAGGTCAGACAGTGAATCCCTAAGTGATTTTATCTAGCGGATTAGCTCTTTAAAATTTTTTTTTTCCAACGTTTATTTATTTTTGGGACAGAGAGAGAGACAGAGCATGAACGGGGGAGGGGCAGAGAGAGAGGGAGACACAGAATCGGAAACAGGCTCCAGGCTCCGAGCCATCAGCCCAGAGCCCGACGCGGGGCTCGAACTCACGGACCGCGAGATCGTGACCTGAGCTGAAGTCGGACGCTTAACCGACTGAGCCACCCAGGCGCCCCGCGGATTAGCTCTTTTAAACTAGGCTTCACATATGACTCTGAAATAATGTTCCTGTAAAATGAAAACCAATACCGAAACCTTTTCTTATTCCCTGAATTTGTTTACTGTTCTTTCTGCCTGTAAGAGTGCCAAATCTTTTGAACTTCCATGATTTTTTCACTTACGTTTTGCAACGTAATTATAGCGTATGGCATAAAATATTTTTACATCATTATACATGGATACATTTCCCAGTGAATCAATTCTGAAAAATATTTTCCAAGAACAGAAACCCCCGATCAGAATGAAACTAAAGATAACTACTACTTCAAGGTTTAAAAAACCCAAAGTAAATGTTTACATAGAAAGGGAACATATGATTTTAAGGGGAGTAAAGTTCTGCTAGGACTCCCATTCTTTTATGTAAACCTGTGGAGTATAATTTATGAAACTTAATCTCCTGAAGTAAAAATATACCTCAGTGGATCTTACTATTATCAGTATATTTTGGATGTATTGAACAACACAGAATGGTAATGGAAATTCCTTAAAAGTAGTTCTGGAAGGGCTGCCTAGAAACATTCTAAGACATTCTATTGCTGAACCGGAAAGAACGCTACATGCTATACGTAGGAAGGCCTTGACAGTCTGGTGGATGGCATTTTACTGTCATTCTCTCCAGGGAGATGGTTTGGGTCTGGAAGATTTTGGAGATGCATTTTCTCGTTGGTTGTTTAGGATGAGACCTCACTCATGCACTCGGCACTCTTGGTCCTAAGGCCACTTAACTTTTGACTTCTGTGTCCTTTAACAGGAATGGGGCATTAATAGAATTTATTTAGCTATTTTTTTTTTAAAGGAAATATGATGTCCTGTCACCTTGGGGTGGGGGTATATAAGCCAAAGAGTCACAAAACTCACGTGAGCATCCTAACAGAAGATTCAGGTGGTCTTTAGTCCGCCTAGCACCTGCTGTAAAGTGGTACTATACATGTGGTCTGTTACTAGATAGATAGCCACCCCTAGCAGGTCCTGTCTATGTTCAGTTTTTAGTAAGACAGAAATTACCAAAGTCTCATTTCATAGTCTAGAGAAATTCTCTTATTGGCCAGCATTCTATCTTATGCTCTTTGTTATGCAACAGAATAACAGATTTTGAAACTCTGTGAAACGCATAAGAATTCTAGATGATGACTTTTCGCTTTCATTTTCTCTCATGGTCAGGAATACTATGTAGACAAGGAAGAAAGATCTTTCAATCCCACCGTTGTCATGACTACCACTGTCACTATTACTGCCACTACTCCGGTGCTGTTACCACGACGGTTGCCAGTATACATGTTAACAGGTTCCAGGTGCTTAGCTTTACAATGGACTTGCTTCTACAAAAAGCCAAATTACGTATCTGAGATACCTACATAACATAAATATACCTATAATACAAAAATCACATAATTACCTTTCCTCCCTAAAGCATTCGAATTGGATTCAACTACACTAAAAGCAGAAATATCAGAAATGGTATCAACTTCCATTTGGATCTCCCCTAAAATAAAGACAGTATGTCAGGAAATGTGATTTGAAGGTGTCAGAGTGATGCATGAGTCAATGAGTTCTTTCCTCTATTTGCAAATACCAGTTAGAAAATAGGATACATAACATTTCGTGTATTTTGGATGTTATAGTTTAGAAGCATATTATAGTTCTTTTTCTGAAAATGATCCAGTTCAACACTAGTGAGAAGTTTCCCTTATTAAGTCAATGATATCATAGATTACCAGATGGGTCGAAATCATTAAGCATTTTTTGTTTTTTCAAATTATGGACATAAGCTTTACAACATATTTTCTTCCCAGCAGTGAGGATAAAACACTAATTAGTTTTTAGTGAAATTTCTCTATTTATAAAACGTAAAATCTGGTATTCTAAGAAAAAGTTTAGGAAACTGAAAATACATTTAAGTCATATCCACAACAAGGATTAAAACACTGTGATCTACAGTATTACATTACCAGTATTAATTAAGACATTATGGAAGCATTTCTTAAATATTAAATAAGGCTTTCTAGATAAATGCCTATTCTTTCTTATAATATTTTGTTTGAAGGTACAGTTGCTTTGAAATTCATCTGGTAGTTTTTCAAGATGACTGAATGGTAAATAAGACAAACATATGGTTGAAGGTTCTGATATTTTCTTTTTATCAGTAGGAACTATTGAAGGAAGGATGTTGCTCTCTAACGCTAAGCTCTGGTAGTGAAGTCAACCTACTAAAGAAGATTCTGGAAAACTTTATTATCAACCAGACACAATCTGATTACCGTTCTGTTACCCAGTGTTGCCAAACTGTTCTATTATTCAGTGATAAGGGATTTACAGCAATTACCCTGCAACGGAAACCCAGTCTTCAAAGAGTAGAATAAATAAAATGCCCTTTTAAAAGAAAATGCTTCTCTTCGGATAGTAGATTCTTAGCTCATTTACATATGTAAAATCCTTGTAGACTCATTTTCAAGGAGTAGTTTAGGTCACTGGGGATGCTCTCTTGCTTTGGGACATGAAATGATTTCATGTCTGGGATGTTGATGTTATTTTGCTAGTGCCAAATGGTTTAGTTTTCCATGTCCCAGCCTTGGTCTCAGTTACAATTTTCAGTAAGTTATGGGAAACAAAATGTTTAAAATGTTGGGAAGTACTTACAATATTTTGGAAATAATTCCTTGGTAATTTAAAGTTTTACACTTGAAAGTCAATGAAAAGGAGACAGAAATCCCTAAATACCATCCATGAGAAGAACACAACATATTATATATAATTCAATAGAAAATTAAGAACAACTTCACACTGTGAGTAAAGAGAGTAGAATAGCCTTTTCTTTTCCTTTTTTTTTTTTTTTTTTTTTGGAATAGCCTTTTCTAATCAACCAGTTCAGGAAGCAAAGTCCCTTTTAAACTACATGTTGAGAAAGGTAATTATCTTTAGCTACTGGCTCTAGTGAGACAATGGAAATCATCCTAAACCTAATAAAATAAACTTGAGGACTCCTAAGAAAGAATGACATTTTCATTCAAACTAATAAACAAACTGACTGACAGACCTTAATTAAAGATTTTTACTTTCTCTCTTTCTGTATCAAAATACCCCAAGACTTTCATAGAATTTTGTCAACTCAATTACCATATGTTGTTGAAATAAACCATTTTGGGATCTATCTAACTACCTATCAATACATTCTATACTTATATATACTACTTACACCTGCATAGAATCCATGTAAAACATGCATATCTAAAAATAAAATCAAGCTTCAGAAAAAAATTGAGTTTCAAAAAGCAGCTATAATTGCATACATACATACAGACCTATATCATATAGGATTTTATGATGCTAATGTTTTCTCTTTCAGTATTTTACTTTGAAAATAAAATTATCAAAATCAAGCATGAAACCTTTGTGCTAGCACCCCTCAGAAAGATTCAATTATATTGACTTGACATGGCACGCACACTCAGAAACATAACATGTACATTTTGTCGCTTTGCAATAGGTATGATGTTTTAGTCTATGCCTAACATCCCGTGTCGATGATCTTGCATCAAGCTCCCAAACATGACACTAATATGCTAGGATGTCTTCTTACCTTATTTGAACTTAAGCTGTGGATTCTATCGCTAGAATAGCTGTGGGGTATTGGAGGGTCAGGGTAGTCCTCAGCACCTTTGGTTGTATTCTTCTTGACAACTTCTACATAGGAAACAGGGAAGATGCCTTGTCTGCTGGTTCCTGGAATTTTACCTTCATACCAGTTTTGATCAACTCTTTTAAGAAGAATAACTCTATCTCCCTGCAATGAATATTAGGAAAATGCATTATAAATACAGATGTGGTAACATAAAAACTGTCAATTGTCAATGGTTTCTAATAAGCAATAGCTTTCCATCTGGGAAAGTTTGATACCTCCAGCTGTTATGATTGTTGTTTGTTGTTTGTTTTTGTCAGGGGAATGAAAACGAAGGCTCTGAGCTCATTCCCAAATTACAGATTATCAACATGTACGATACGTAATCATTCATCGATGACATTAGAATCTCCCCTAAGGATGCTTGGTTCGTGTGAATGGGCTTACACATGTTCACACCGGTACCATGTGAAATGACTTGTATCAGTTACTTTAAAAAGCAGAATAGTTTAACAGGGAAAACCTCAATGACAGTAGCGTTATCCTATCATTGACAGGATTCGGGGAAATGACCTTCTGCAGGAAGAGCTTCAAAACAGTGCAACTCAGCTCGCTGTGATTGTGTATCTGAAATGGATTACGGAAGTCAAGCTCCGGAAGGGAGGAAGTTGAATGGCATACCGTTTTGCTTTCTTGATCTACGTGTGGTAAGCAGGAGCAAAGAGTAAGGCTGGCAGGATGGGGCAAAGGACGTACCCTGGATAATCCACAGCTCTGCCCAGGGCCGACACCCACCTGGTCTGGATCAAGATCGTGTAACACCACTCACTATCCATTCTGATTGGCCTCTGCATAGAACATAACTGAGGAGAAGTAAATCTCCCTAATGTTGAAATTGCACTGATCTTCTGGGCAGCACACTGCTGTTGCCAGGCTGTTGCTGGAGCTATAAATTGCACTGGCAGAAGCTGCTCTTTATAGTATGAAACATCAGCCGGGATGGTTCATGGAATGTTGTGCTGCCGCTGGGAGGGTAGACGAGGAGAATGGGTTGATGATGCAGAACCAGGGCCGAGAAGGGAGAATGGGATGAGGTTCTGCCGGTACAAGAACCGTGTCGTTTCCCTTCCTTGCCCCTGGCTAAGGGATTCGCCAGTAGGCAAAGAAGTTCTAGAACCACCCTGCCTGTGACTCTCTAGCCTGTGCTCTGTGCAGACACGTGGTCACCTCAAACAAACGAATGTGATGGTTTAGCAAACCATGAAGCAAACCATTAGTTCGTTTGATCTTTCTGCGCAGGAACAAATTAAAAAGAGTTCTTTCTGGGGGCACCTGGGTGGCTCAGTCAGTTAAACATCCAGTGATTGGTTTCGGCTCAGGTCATGATCTCACGGTTCCTGAGTTCGAGCCCCACATAGGGCTCTGTCAACACGGAGCCTGCTTGGGATTCTCTCTCCCTCACTCTCTACCCCTTCCCCCCATGCCCTCTCTTTCTCTCTCTCTCTCAAAATAAATAACTAAACATTAAAAAATGAGAAAAAGAGTTCTTCCTGATATTATTAAGATACTAGAATTGGATCGGTTGCTAGTGAAATTTGGGTCAGTCATGAGGCCTAGAGAAGGCTGATCAGGGGAACAGCCCTGCACAAAAATGTCTCCTCAAAAAGGCTCTGTAGGGAGAAGTACCTTCATTACGTTAGGACCGTTCCTGGATTCCAAGATAAAAGTAAATGTTGAAACACCCATTTTTTTTTTAAATTTGAATAATAAGGCAGCAGGACAAACAATATTATGAAGTGTATGAAAGTGCTTTTCCTTTTGATGTTTCCACGTGTAGAGCTCCTGGCTGTTCAGCCTGAGGCGCCCCTTGGAGGAGACGTGGAACCTGCCATGCTAAGCCTGGAGGGAAAGTCTCTCTGAGAAGCTGTGCATCCCCCAGGGGACCTCTTCTGGAAGGACACGGAGCGGTAGGTAACAGCGCCTCAGGGTGGCCTCATAGAGTCCTTTGTAGCACATGGGGGAAACACAAAAACGTCCAAGGAAATCGATAACGTATTTTAGTTTTGGAAATACACAGCCTTTCAAAAGCACTGTTGACGACAATGGCCAGGGTACCTTTCTCAGCGACAGCTCCACGTTTGTGTCAGCATTGAAATTATATTTGGCTACAGCTTCTCCGATTTCTCCAGGCTGGGCTGGGGGAGGCGGTCTTGCAGGCTGTGCCTTCTCAGGAGGCATGAGTTTCTATGAGGGAAAAAAAAGTTATCTATTCTTGATCTGTGGCGACTTTGGAAACAGCAGCCATGGGAGAGGGAAGGGGTAGGACTTACCTCCACGTAGGAGATGGGAAAAATGCCCACTCTCCCGTGGTGCTCTCCCTCATACCAATTTTGATCAATTTTCCTGAGGATGTAGACAGTATCTCCTTTCTTAAATGACAGCTCCCTGGAAGAGACACGTTTCAGGGCTGGGTTCCCCCCCTCCGCCCCCGATGTGTAGCCATTACTCTTAAGATCAACACTCTCACTTGATCCGTATTTGGCTGAGAAACGTACTTTCAGTGTGGAATAATCTGTCAAGCCCAGTTACATCAGGCTCTTTGTTGCAAACCCTTAGAATTCACTTATAACTTTAAAAGTGATTTCAAAAAACGAACAAATGGAAACCTCGTGTTTGATACAAGGCACAGGCCAACTGACATGAAATTGAAAGGCAAGGATGGACCATTGCTGTGTAATCATTAGTTTGCTGTGGAGGAGTTGTTAGGCTTGGCTTAATGATAGATTCGCTCTGCACTGATCTTGTTAGTTCTGAAGCTAGTGAGATAGTCAGAACCTTAACTTCTCTTTCTTACTGGCCCCTTTGGATGTGCTAAAGCTTACAATAAAGAGAATAAGTAGCTTTAGCACCGAAGTGCCATCATCAGAAAAATTTTTATTTACAGGTCTTGGAAGCTGGTTGTCGGGCATTTATTTAACTGGCATATCTTGATAAGGAATCTATTTTGTGTAAAGAAAAAGATTTTATTCTTCAATGGAGCGCAGACATAAACATGTTTTAAATGTAAAGACATGCACGGGTTGCTTGCCGCCTTCTTTCTAGCTTTTGTTTTTAAAAAGTAAAAGTATTTTCAGGACACCATCTATGCTTTTCCATTTTGGTTATTTCTTTTTTTTTTTTTTTTTAATTTTTTTTTTCAACGTTTATTTATTTTTGGGACAGAGAGAGACAGAGCATGAACGGGGGAGGGGCAGAGAGAGAGGGAGACACAGAATCGGAAACAGGCTCCAGGCTCCGAGCCATCAGCCCAGAGCCTGACGCGGGGCTCGAACTCACGGACCGCGAGATCGTGCGGGGCTCGAACTCACGGACCGCGAGATCGTGACCTGGCTGAAGTCGGACGCTTAACCGACTGCGCCACCCAGGCGCCCCCATTTTGGTTATTTCTAAGAAGAAACCTATATGCCTGCTTATTTCCTAAGTAGGTAGATGTGGGTATGTAGTTTTAAGCTATAAAAACATTACTTATTTTAGCTAATTCATGCCTACCTTCTCATCCTCACTGCATCTGTTTTTGACGGCTTCATTATCCAGGTAACTGTCTGTTTGCTGTTTTGCCCTCGTAATTACGTTTTGTCGGAGGACACTTATTTCACATCTTTTCCCAAGAGCCCTACTTTCCTACTCATCTGCCTCCCCGTTCTGGAATCTTCTGCAATGTTTAGTTCAGAATCTTGAGTTGGATCGTTTATATGTGCAGAGTGGATCATGAAGAGAGCTGGATATCAGATGTAGCGTATTTCTCATTGATTAAAAGAATTAATTGAAAAACTGTTACATATGAGGGGCGCCTGGGTGGCTCAGTCAGTTAAGCGTCCGGCTCTTGATTTTAGTTCAGGTCATGATCCCAGGGTCGTGGGATCCGGCTCCGAGTTGGGCTCCATTCTGAGCACAGAGCCTGTTTAAGATTCTCTCCTCTCTCTCTGCACTGCCCACCCCGAACCCCCTCTCACTTGTGTGCACTCTCTCTCTCTCAAATAAAAAAATAAAAAACTGTTGCTAATTAAAGAATTATTGCACAGTTCGAAGTGTTAAAATCTTCACACTGAAAGTGTGTTAAATTTTCAGTAACCCTAAAGACAGGAGATTCAAGGAGTCTTACATTCAAATACAGCACTCCCTTCTTTTATGCAAATGCCGGATGTAGAAAACAAAAAACAAAATATTTAATGTTTGCAATCCAATAGCTTTCTGAGTACCAGGTGTGTTTTGTTTCTGGAAATGAGACTAGGAAGCTTAGCTTTTTTTAAAAAACAAGTCAATTAGAGAAAACTTTTTCTTTCAAATATGAAAAGAAATCTTTTCTATTTTTAAGGGCTTGTATTTAAACGTTTTAAGCCTTCTACATAAAGGACAGAAATCTCACTTAACAGTTTTCAAAACTGTGTCCCTCTCATCTCAGACCCAGAATTTCTGAGTCCCATTAATAGTAAGCTTGCTTTCTCCCTCCCAAACCCTTTTAGAATGGTGGCCGCTGACAACCTCTGGAAATGACGTTTTACGTCTTTTTCCTATTTAACAATTGAGACATTATGTCTGGTGAGTTACTGAGCTGTATTGTTAGCTGTGTTATTAAAAAATTAAACTTTCTGCATCAGGTAAAGACAGGTAGCTTTTAAGACAGATGTTTATTTAAAGCAGATATGTCTGTCTCTTGTTTATAAGATGTTAGGCACAAAAAAGCACCCACATCTAGCTATTAATTAAAAGCACGTAGAAATGTGGCTGGGCCTTTGTTAACAGTCAGTGCTTCTGGGTGTGTGAGCCTTTTAAAGCTGTGTGAGTCGTCCAGAACCTCGATTTTTGTGTCAAATAGGTTAACTACACTGGGGAGTGCTCTTTACATCTCCTAAAAACAGAACGAGAGGAATATGATTGAACGGCAGTCAGATAAATGTATTTATGGTACGTGGGAAACATTTTTTGTTTTTGTTTTTTACTAACATTATGGGATGACTTCCATGGGTGATTACTGAATCGACTTCCCTGAAGGCTTACACAATTAGATCCTGTTGGCTTAGGAAGATTTGGTGAAAGGTGGGTGGGGTGCAGATAACCCTGCAAGAGGGCTGTGCCATTTGCAAGCCTGGAACCCTTGCTGACTTGGAGCTTTCACCAGGAGGACATGGCCTTGGAGGATGGCATCAGGCTTGGCAACTGGAGCAAACGAAATCCAGCGACACAATCAACACCCCAACACTCGCCTCTGCACTACACCTCACCTTCCTCTCACGGCTTGTTTTTTATTGAACCTTCTCAAAAAGCGGTGGGCCCTGGGTGGATACCTTTCCCGTGTCATATGCCCTGTCATTCCTCAGGGGTTCATACATTTAAAAAAGCTTTTGATGGCTTGTCACAAAGAAGAAATGGCATTTACATGTTCTGTACCGTTCGCTTATAAAATCGGCATGCATCAGACACATTGTCGCACCATATCCACAGAGCGGTAATAAGGGCGAGAAGGGGGTAGACACGAAGCAGGTGTTACTTATCTCATCAAAAAAGGAAAAAAGATGTAAGCTTTCGTCAGGATTTTTTTAAATACCCGATTTAAGCCACGTTTGACATCTTAAATTCTGTTTTTTAATTTTTAAAAATGTTTGTTTGTTTAGTTAGTTAGTTATTTTGAGACAGAGAGAGAGAGAGAGAGAGAGAGAGAGGCACAGAGCCTGATGCAGGGCTCGAACTCACGACTGTGGCATCATGACCTGAATCGAAACCAAGAGTCAGATGCTTAACTGACTAAGCCACCCAGGTGCCCCAACATCTTAATTTCTAAATAGCATTTTCCTATTTAGTTCATTCTCCATCTCAGCAGCATTACGAAAATCTGAGTGATTTTATCTTTTTACATGTCTCATGTCAGAGACAGTTTCTAGAACTATTAATATAATATGCATTTTAATGAATAAAGTATTTTGTTATTATGTATTATATATATATTATATATGTCCCGTCTAAACAACAAAGGATAATTTAATGCCAATGTACAATGATTTCAATATCTTCAATTCTAATGGAGACCAAAGTTTCTTAAATAAGGTCTGTACACATGGGCCATGACACTTCTGGGAGACTGCCTCCCTCCCTAGCCTTTCTTAACCACATGCCCATCTGATGAACAAGTTCCTAAGGACAAAGGTTAAAAAAAAATATTGCAACAAAGGAGTATGAAAACACTAACTTCAAAAGAGTGCAGGAGGAGGGGTACCTGGGTGGCTCAGTCCGTTAAGTGTACAACTCTTGATTTCAGCTCAGGTCATGCTCTCCTGTGGGGTCCAGCCCTACTTTGGGCTCTGCACTGAGTGTGGGGACTGCTTGGGATTTTCTCTCTCTCTCTCTCTCTCTGTCTCTGTCTCTCTCTCCCTTTCTCTTCTCTCCTCCCCACCCCCCACCTCTCTCTCAAAAAAATAAAGAAAGAAAAAGAAAAAGAAAAAAGAAAAAAAGGACCACGGGAGACAATTTTGCTCAGGATCTCCAAGTTTTGAGTGTTAAGACATGGAGATATTACTCGAAGAATCTTTGTATACAGTTCTACCCTTCAATCCCACAAACTATCCTGGATATAGTTGGATAATTAAGTGTTATCAAATTCTCCCAGTGAGTGTTAATTATTCCCCAACACTGTATTTTTATGTTATTCTTGACACAAAACTTCTAGAAAACAAGATTCTTTTTTAAAAAAATTTTTTTAACGTTTATTTATTTCTGAGACAGAGAGAGACAGAGCATGAGTGGGGGAGGGGCAGAGAGAGAGGGGGACACAGAATCTGAAGCAGGCTCCAGGCTCTGAGCTGTCAGCACAGAGCCCGACGTGGGGCTTGAACTCACAGACTGCGAGATCATGACCTGAGCCGAAGTCGGAGGCTTAACCAACTGAGCCACCCAGGTGCCCCGAAAACAAGATTCTTAATTCCGTTTTATTTACCCTGTCCTTTTGAACTCATGGTACACTAGCATGTTCAGTGTCACTTAAAACCCAATGTTTCTCAAGAAAATTACAAATGAAAATAGAATTAGCCCTATCCCAATTAATTGTGAAGGAACCATTAGTTACAGCTGATTGCTGAATTCGCTGAATTGGGACTTAGACCATATTGTAATACACCCCATTAGAATATTTACCTCTTAAAGTATTACCAAAGTATTTAAAGCCAACCTAAGTCACATAATGAATATTTATCTTACTTACTTAGACGTCTGAGCTTTAAAATCATAAACAGCTTTTGCAGGCAATTTCTGAAAGGGAAAGTAAACAGAGCTAACTTAAAATTTGGATTTTTTTTTTTACAAGAAGCAATTTCATGTGAATTAAAGGGAAATGAAAGCACAAGGAGTGAGTAAACATATATAATGTAAACCCTCTATGCAATTCATAAGTCAACCAATTAGTTCTTCACTTAGGTATTTAAGCTATAACAGGAGTGTAATAGATGGCTTGCTCACCGTAATTACTGAATATCATATTTCCTCTTAGAAACTAAGGTAGATGGGGGCACCTGGGTGGCTCAGTCGGTTAAGCAGCTGACTTCAGCTCAGGTCATGATCTTACAGCTTGTGAGTTTGAGCCCCCCATCGGGCTCTGTGCTGACAGCTCGGAACCTGGAGCCTGCTTTGGATTCTGTGACTCCGTCTCTCTCTTCCCCTACCTGCCTTGTGCTCTGTCTCTGTCTCTGTCTCTCTCTCTCTCTCTCTCTCTCTCTCTCTCTCAAAAATAAATAAACATTAAAAAAATTTAAAAAAAGAAACTAAGGTAGATGAACACTGCAGTACAATTCCAGAGGGATCTGTCCCAGGTATAATTCTGGCTTTTCCTGGGTCAGTTGCCCTGTGTCTTATGTGTTAACACAACTCCTTTGGAATCATAATAAAAAGACTGGAAAAAGTCACGAAGGAAGCCATTATCCCTTTTACTAACACTTATTAACATAGTAGCAAAGAAATATTAGCCCAATTCTCATTGGGAAGCGAGTGTGTGGCCCAAAGTATAGGCTTGGTCATCTTGCATTCCCTGGAGGGTTCAGGAATTCTTTATTGACAAGGTAAATCGGCCGTTCATCTTCTAGTCATGATAAGATGTGACACACACTCACCTTCAATCACCCTGCACGCCCTAGCTAGCTGATTCAGCTCTGCCTTTTCTACTTCTCAGTTATCTCCTCACCCCACTCTCTTTCCTTGGGATTCCATGAACGTTAGGCAACCTGGGACATTCCTGACTTCTTTGGGGGTCCCACGGGTACTGGGCTGCAGGAGACACCTGTAGGGATTCTCCTGGAGCGGCTGCCAGTCCCAGGCCAGCTTCAGTTGCTGTCAAACCTTCACGGCTCCAAGATGGCGTGAACCTGAGCTCCAGCCCTGGCTCGGGACCATGCACAAAGCTAGCTGGTACCTGGTTCCTAGGAGCAGTGATTTTCCAACAAAAGCAGGCCAGGCAAAAATTAGGTCGAATTTGTATTGATTTGCGACACAGATGACTTAGAGCTCCCCTCTACATCAGGGGTGAAATTTGTACTGGGAAATCTCTTTCCTCCATGGGGCAGCCCAGCTCAACACTCTCGCAGAGCACGGTTGTTAATTCACGGGTGTCAGGTCAAGACTCGGCGGGGCCTCGCTGCTGGAACTGGACCGCGGTTGGGGGACATCTACAGCTAGGGTCGGGGTGCGTGCTGCCTTGAGTCCTTTGCTCAACCTCCAGGGAAGGTGTTTCTAGTTTCTCTCTCGTCATTTTTATGTTCTTGATCTGGGCTCTTTACTGGTTTTGGAAAAAACTCTGGCTGGCAAGTGCTTTATCAAATACGTTGCAGAAAAAAAGACTCCAGTGCTATTGAACAAACTACCTCTTTTTCTGGAGTTCCTCTTCTTTCCCTCGGTGCACTTCTCCCCAGGTCAGTCACAGTGGATGAGTAACTTCTAGGGGATTCATGGTCTGTGGGAAAGGACAGGGTCAGAGTGAGTGTTCACATAATTAAAAGCCGACCATTTTTAGCCATGGTCCCTGGTGGCAACTGTTTTCTCCTTCGGATATAGAGACATAGCACAATGGAAGACGTGGGTATAAGATTCATAGGTAAATGATAAAGTTGTGATGGAAGACACAAAACCAGAGCATCGCAAAAGGGAAAAATATCCGAGGTTGCAGAAGTGTTCTAATCCCAAATGTAACTGTTACATTGCTGATGTAATTATGCTGCAGCACCTGGTATAGACAATTCATACTCGCGGGGTGATGGCGGGGGGGATTTCTCACCTCAGAGATTTAATACTTTCTATTCCTTTTGCCTCCAATTTGTAATTATTTTTCAGGGCAGGGGGAGCCTGGGTGGCTCAGTCGGGTGAGCGTCCAACTCTTGATCTCAGCTCAGGTCATGATCTCACGGTTTGTGAGTTTGAGACCCAAGTTGGGCTCTAGACTGACAGCATGGAGACTGTTTGGGATTCTCTCTCTCTCTCTCTCTCTCTCTCTCTCTCTCTCTCTCTCTCTCTGCCTCTTCACCACTCATGCGTATACACACTCTCTCTCTTACTGAAAATCGATAAACTTATAATGACGTTTATAGGGCCTATAGAAGATGGAGAATTTGAACATAGCAACAATTAACAAAAACTAAGACATCTCATGGAACAATTTAAGAATGTAGTAATGAAAAAGAAAAATAAAGCATGATGGTGGCAGAACTATGGTTGTGTCCATTCCCCATGCCCCATCCCTACACACTCTGTCCCCCTATCCCCCCACCCCATTGTTACACAGTTGTTGAGTTTTAAGATGTCATCCTAAGGCTTAAAAGGCCTTTATCTTTTGCCTTCCCTTTTGTTCAACTGCCTTATCAGAAAGTATATATTTATTCCAAGAAGCAAAGGGATAAAAATTCTCTAAACAGGAAGTATCCTATTGATTGCTACGCTGCTTATGAAATACTGAATTGTTTTTGTTCATCTGAAAGCACAGTATAAATAATTACATTCCCAAATTATGATTATAAGTATCTCTTAATGGTTTCTTATACTTTACACATTTGTATGTGGAAATGTAGCTAGAGTCTAAGAATATCTCAGTAGTCTCTGTTATAGAATTTTACCAGTATAACTGGGTCAAAATTAGTAAATTCTTTCTCTTGTCCCTTTAACAGATTTAGTTATATTGATTAGCAAGAAGCATTAAAAATAAAATAAATCCAGTTACAAAGGAATTAAAAATGCTAACTCATAAAAAGAAAACATTACTTAAAGATCGTGACTACTTTGACTGTAAGACAGAATTGTCTATTTAACAGCAGGTGGACACCAGTTACATGACATAGAAGGACAAATGTCTAACTGTTGGTTGTGAATTCCAAAGTCTTTAGATTTAGTAAGGTAACATGGCCACAAATATCTCAGGTTAAACTTACTCAGTTATTTTCAAGCATGAGAGAGATTCTGTGCCATATATTTTCTGTTTCTAAAATGGAAATACTTTTATGAAAGCTTTCATCCTGATCATTAAGTTGTGAATCATAATCCATGGCATATAAACTATTTTTCAATTGGGCTAAACAAAATTGGAAAGTGGGTATGTTATCAAAAGACAAATACCCTTCAAATGCCTTTCAAAGCCCTCTCAGATCAAGTTTCAGTAAGGTACTCTATCCGTACATAACATTTAGAGGTGATTATTATCGTTGATACACTTACTTGAATAGCTGGAATTATCCAATATTGAAAAACTGGAAAAGGTAGCGGACTTATTATAAACTTAAATTGTGACGTCTCAATCAGTGAAAATGTCAAATTGTAGGCACTGTTTTAAAAAATTCTAATTTGTTGTTTTGGAAGCGTGTTGTATGGTATAAATGAAAGCAAAGATAAATACTAATAAAGCAAATTTGTGCAGTGGCCGCTAACAATTGAGTCACCTATATAGTACATTAATATGAAATTTGCATTGTCTTTTTTTTTTTTTAACCCATAGAGATTATGTTCTGTACTACAAACACTGAATTACTAGGACTTTGCATCTCTTTTCTCTTACCTACTCCCTAACTGACTTTGGTCAAATCTCTTGTCTCCCCTGGGTCTCACTGCTTATAATGATACCTATCACCTAGGTTGGTGCCAGTGCTAATTAGATAGTGTGTCTAGAGCGCTTTGCAATGCCCAGTGCATAGCAGACTGTTGACAATCCAAATTCCAGCAGAGAATGTTCTTTCCAGCTTCTGAAAACTTACATAGTGAACAGATGTCTGTTAAGAATTAAAAAAAGAGAGAGAGAGAGAGAATTGTATACATACAACTTGTATAAAAAAATATCAGAACCCCTAACAAACCTCAGAAAAAGTCCTCTGCCTTTGAACTGTTATTTGTCCGCATATTGCCACTCCAAGGTGATAATCCATCTATGAAAATGGAGTTGAGGGTCACTTTTAACCTAAATGGCCTAATTCAAATGTCAATATAAGATTGTTTCAGCGGAAACAGAAAATAAGGTAATGGAAAGGAAAAGAAAATGAATACACCGAATGATGGAAATGAGACTTCTGTCTATACAGCTTAAAGATGTATTCCCAAAAATTTTATCCCATGTGCCCTTTAAAGGTTGTTCAGGGGCGCCTGGGTGGTGCAGTCGGTTGAGCGTCCGACTTCAGCCAGGTCACGATCTCGCGGTCTGTGAGTTCGAGCCCCGCGTCAGGCTCTGAGCTGATGGCTCAGAGCCTGGAGCCTGTTTCCGATTCTGTGTCTCCCTCTCTCTCTGCCCTTCCCCCGTTCATGCTCTGTCTCTCTCTGTCCCAAAAATAAATGTTGAAAAAAAAAATTTTAAAGGTTGTTCAACAAGTCCTATTCTCTTTTCATTGTCCATCAATTACTACACTGACTAGTTCAGTTTTTCTTCCTGGGTGTTTGGATGTAGTATTTCGATGTTGAATGTAAGGAAATTATTTATTGAGTGAGTGACTATAAAGTTAATATTAATAACCAAGTAAAAGCTGTTTGTTAGATTATTGGTTTTGATTCATTTTACGACAAAACAAGAGTCATCAGTCTCTTAAGGATACTGATACTCAATCGCGGTTTCCCTGATGGGATCCTTTTAAATTGATAAAATAAGTTTAACTGGTTGTTTCGACGTATGTTGTTTCAACCCTAGCATGAAGCTACAAGATGGTTTTCCCTTTCGATTTTGAATGAATAAATTTTTGTGAACTGGTGATCACTTTAAGCCACACGTCAAGTCCGATTATCACATGGGCAAATGAGACTATTCAGGAAGACATGTTTGCACAACAAGCATTTGCTTCAAAAACACATAACGGTGTCGGGTGGTCTCACGGCTTAGGAATGATGAGATGTAGGAATGGAAGATGAAAGAGCTGGATGGTGGGTGTCTGAACCACGGGGACAGAGAAAGAAAAGCTCATCCACCTTGGAGACTCCGTGCACTCTCATGGTCTCGGTGGTGGTGGTTGCTGGTGGCGGTGTCCACGTCTGGGAAAGAGGCACTGTGAGGCATTCTCCCACAAGCGTTCTGGTACAATGGACGACGAGTGGCACCATCTTGAGGCGGTGGGTGGAAGGGCTGGTGCACGGGGCTCCTTCTTAGAGCTTCAAGGGACGAGTTCCTCTCTGGAATATGTGGCAACAGTTCACTGATAAGACGGTGCAATACACTGTTGTCTGGCAAGCTTCCCCTTCTCTCTTCAGCTTTAATTTGGTCACAGATGTCTTTAAGGGCAGAGTCCAGAGCCTCAAACACAGACGCTTTACATTTTGCCTTTTCAGCCTGTTTTTGGGGAGTCGAGTCCTTTTTCCTCCGGAAAGGCACGGGACTGACTAGAAACGCAAGTTTAGAAAGGCCGGGGTCCGTTTCCTGTCTTCTGGGCTCCTCGGCATTCTCGTGTTTAGCCCTTTCATGTTTCAGCACTGTGGTGAATCGGGTGTAGGAGGCAGGGCATCTGCCCTTGCAGGAGCTGATGAGGTGCCGGTGGTGGTGGTGGTGATGGTGGTGGTGATGGTGGCTGGATCCATAAAAGCTCTCAGAGGATGTGAAAGAAAAGTGATCAAAGTCACTCTCGCTGCAAAAGGACGACCCTTCCACGTGGATGTAATCACTGTGGTCAGACACAACTCCTTCTTGGTCACTGTCGGAAAACTCCAAATGAGTTCTCGGTTGCTCGTCACTGGTGACTTCGATGTGAATCGGCACCAGGGTTTCAGGCTCGTAGCTGCGTTGTACGTGAGAAGGGTGTCTACTCCGACTTTCTTCCTCCAGCAGAGACTCGATGGAAAACCGCCTTTTGGGACATAAACCGTTTTGTTGGGGTTCTAGGGTTATAGGAGAGAACATATCATCTCCTAAATTTGGCATGGATTTTGACTTTTGAATCAACTTCTCAAATTCAGAAATGCGAGTGGGGACCATGTCCCTGGGCACCTCCTCAGTGGAGGACTGACTCCAGCCATGGAGCAGGCCCTTGTGTTGCTGTTCGTTTTCATACTGCAGGATTCTCGACTTTACCGAGCAAATCACCTCTGAGTTCATCAGATCCTTGCGATTGATGCGGTGCATTTTCTTGTACATTTTTAGGAACCCTGGGGCGTCATGGGCTGACCTGTGTCGGAGCCTCGATCGGCCGTTACCACGGCCCTCCTGGATGTACGGGGAAGCCCAGGCCCCAGGGCAGCTCTCCTTGGACTCCTCTTCACATAGCAGAGAGCCCATACTTTCTGACTTGGCTTTTGGGTCAGGGAAGCTGTCACAGTCACCATTTAGGAGGTCATCACAACTACGGGATTTGATTTTGGGGGAGACTGTCTCTTCAGTGCTGCTCCAGACCTCTGCATTTTGCCGGGCCATTTGCCAGCCGTTCTTGAACGTGATGGCCCTCTGTGAGTCACGAGGGACATCCAAATGCTGTCTCTTGTAAGCGTTACAGTAATCTAACTCATTGGAGGGGTTGCCGTTGAGCCCTGAGTAACTGTAAAGGGATGGACACATATCATCCCCACCTTTTAATCCAGGCCAGCGTGGTGGAAGAGAGACATGTGGAGAAGTTAAAAGGTTCACAAAGAGGAAGCATGTCAGTTAGCATCAGATAGCACAGCAGAGGGAAAGCAGTTAGCATGGTTTAGTCTAGACACGGATTGTTACACATGTAGCTTCAACTTTAGAGGAAGAAAATCCTAATTCTAAGGCAGGGTAATACTTTTTCAATGAATGTAGCTTCGCAGATATTAGAGTTAACAAAACCACATATAAAAAGTAATTAGTGTAGTTTCGATACCTATTTGTATTGTGTTCATACATCTTTCTGCAAACGAGGTATGCCCAAACCACAGAAGTACCTCGGAAGCTAATAGCCTGGCCCGGTGTAATTTAAAGGTTTACCGATTAAGGCCAAAAGTGGTAGAGGTTTAATCAACTGAATAGGGTCAGGATTTGAGTCTCATTTGATTTACAATGGTAGAGAGGTAAAGAGTAATTTATAAATTTGCATTTAGTCACTACTTCCGTAACTGTATTAAGTAACTTTTCGTGGGCGTTAGATAGAAAAAGCAACAGGACAAAGCATTTTCCAAACTTGTAAAATCAAGATGCTTTGAAATACTGCTGTTAATATTTCTCCAAGACACACAGTACAACCTCTTTAAACATACAAATTTACCTCATTCTATGAGGCAGATTCTCTTGCCTCATTCTATGAGGCAGATTCTCTTAAGAGTAACTGGATATAGTATAAAATTCTCATCAGAGGCTAATGCATCTTAGTTTTTTCCAAGGAGGTTGTTTTTTTTAAAAAAATAATTTGCAATCTGATAATAGCTAAAACTGACCTCAGTTTAGAATATGTTTAGAAATATTCTTTTCTTTTGCTCTGCTGCGTTAACTCATAAACGAGAGGCCAAATTAACATCCAATGGGACATTTTCATCTTAGAAGGAAACCTGATGAAGGAAAATCTCTCTCTTGATAGTTCCTGTCTTACAACCTTATCCAAACTTTGCAAAAGTAGATAAGCACATCAAGCAGATATGTAATGTTTGGGAAAGGAAGTTGAGTCAACACTCCCTAGGGTAAAAATGAATATATAAATTAATCAGAACCCTTTTAATTTTTGGGTGCTATCCAAGCATAATGAATCGATGGTATTTCATGACCTATTTACTATCTTAAAATATTCATTTGCATAAATGAGTGGAATCTGATAAATGTATGTCTGTTGATTGGATGAAAGGTATCGTAAAAGGGGCTCACTCATTCTGAACCTTCCAGGGAGTAGGCCCACTTTTACGAGGCCATGGAAGACGGCTAGTGACTCCCACCTATCCGGAGTCCAGGCATCCAAACCAGCCTGTCTTTTGCACACAAACCAGCTACCACTTAGCTTTGATTGCCACATGGCCACGCTTTTCGTGCTTACGTTTGATACGTGTGGCCGAATCTGTGCTATTTAGGGGAAACTTCTGTTAGAGTGCAAGTTCTTTACACATTTCAAATTCCTTTTGTGTTCTGTTTCAATGCCAGGCGATTGGGGAAGATTTCAGGGCCCCAAATTAGGTATGGCCTTAGGTACCTGTAGATGCTGGTTTAATCCTCAGTCTCCATCTTGGGAATATTCCTGTTACCACAGCAATAATGCACTAACCAGTCTTCCAGAGACCTGAAGGAGACTTGCCCTCTCTCAACACAGCTCACTGAACTTCCAGAGAGGAGAGAGAGGCCATATGGAGAAATGGCTTGGTGAATCTAAATTTTCCAAGTATGGCTTGAAACCAGTTGGTTCTTATTAGTGGACTGTTCTGAATCAAACACCATGTTACACGCGTAACATGGATATTCTACTATCTATGTGAATGTTGGCCAAAGTATAGAACAGATGACGAAAGAATAAACTTCCGTAAGTCAGACAAAATTTTATCTCGAATTAAATAATCAAAAAAATCCAAGTACGTTTTAGGCAACAATGTTCTTTGTTGCTACTTCTAATTCCTACTCTATAGATGTGATTAACTTTGCTAGTTGTAGTAACTTTAGACCATTTCTTTAAAATACGCAAATATTTATAAATGTAATCTTTTAATGGCCTGACAATAAATTAGGTACTCTGAATGTGTTCAAAAAAAACCACAAATGATACATTTGGAGGGAAAAAGCATTGAATATGCTAGATGATAGAGTCCTTTAAGCCACTCACATAGCTCACCAAACTGACCTAGTCTGTGTAAAAAGAAAGCTATTGTTATGAAACTGGATTGTATTCAAGACACTGTATTTAAACGCTAACCATCTCTGCACGGTTAATCTTGCCCAGCTGTCACAGGTAGCCTAGGTTAAAACTAAGCTAGTAAATTGCTTACCCATCAATCTAATAATTGCTCACCTTTTGCTCTTGACGGGGAAGAAGGGGAGGAACTTATGAAGGACTGAGTCAGGGTGGCGCTTGACCCTGGGAGGTCCGCTCGGCCTGGGCTGGTCCTGCGTGCACCGTGATCCAGGCCCCTCGGCTGCCCCACCGCAGGCTCGCTCTTCCTCCTTTTCCTGAAGTCACTGGCCATGCTCGTGGCACTGAAACAAGAGATCAGCTTCAGTCAGGCTGCTGTTAGAGGAGGCTAGTATGTCAACCAGAAAGACTGATGGAATGTGCTAGTGACAGTGGTACAACTCTTACCTCTGTTCCCCCGAACTGCAGTTTTCAGAATTCATTCCTTGCTATTAAACGCTATTTCTTTATCCTCTCTTTAAAAATATTCATAGACTGTATTTTATTTTTTTTTATTATTTTTTTTAATGTTTATTTATTTTTGAGAGGCAGAGTGCAAGCGGGGGAGGGGCAGAGAGAGACGGGGGGCGGGGGCAGACACACAATCCAAGTCAGGCTCCAGGCTCTGAGCCATCTGCGCAGAGCCCCATGTGGGGCTCGAACCCACAGACCTCAAAATCATGACCTGAGCCAAGTTGGACGCTTAACCGACTGAGCCACCCAGGTGCCCCTGAGACTGTATTTTTTTTTTTTTTTAAGATAAGTTTTAGGTTTATAGAAAAATTGGGCAGTACAGAGAGTACCCATACACTCCCTTTTCTGGTGCGTGCTGTTCCTCCTGTTACTGACATTTCTATCACTGTGATATATTTATTACAGTAGATGAGCCATCTTGATTCATTATTATTAAATGTAATGAAAGTCTATGGTTTACATTAAGGCTGTTTTCTGCACAATATCCTGACTTTAAGATTTCTTCAGGCCTTTTTTGGGGCGTGAATAGCTCCAATAGAATAGCTCATTCTATTCATTGTTAAATAACTTTCCATTATATGGATACACCAGTTCGTTTATCCATTCACCTACTGAAGGGCATCTTGGTTGCTTTCAAGTTTTAGTAGTATGAATGAAACTGCTATAAACATCCATGCGCAGTTTTTTTGTGCAGACATAAGTTCATGATCACATTTTAAAGTACAGATCCTCCTATTGGTGGTGTACGTTGTGACTGACAATTCAGTGGTAGGATTTGTGTCATGTATCTTTTCTCTGTAAAGAGGAGTTCCAACAACATGACTATATCCGGGGAAGCGTGCCGACATGAAAGAAAGGACTGGAAAAAAGAAAGTCACCTGATGAGACAAATTTCTCTTACCCCACGGTTTCCCTACGGCTTTTCCTACCAATCTTAGCTTGAAAACACTTACGCTGAAATTCTAACATTTTCCCAGTGAAGTAATGAATGAATCACGATCTGACCAGCAATCAAACTGTTTAAGGGGACTTTCATCTGGTTGTATGAAATGGTGTAAACTGTCTATAATGGCAGGACATTTTTATCACGGTCTCGGTCTGAATATAGGATCACTCAGGACAAACGCTAGTGAACAAGGATACGCATCACGCGGCATGCTGTCTGTCCGATCATTACACAAAATTACATCAGCAACAGCAGGAATGGCAACACCAGCTCCCACGAGGCAGCAATACACACAACTGCTTTGCTGCCGTTACTGTCTGCACAGCCCACGCGCAAACCTGCGAGGTGTGCACGTTACCACTATCGCGTAAATGAGTCGATGCGACACACACTTTGCAAGCATAGAGTTGGAGCTGGGCCTCAGAATTTGTCTTTGTTCTTCTGAAGAGGATAGCCGTCTTTTCCTAGACCTGTTTTTGCCGTCACTGTCCTGTCACGTGAGGGTCTGTGCACAGTCTTAATAGCAATCTTAGGTCAGATGAGAACTCTGAAACTCAAATACTTTAGGAGTGTCTATAGATGTAAAAGATATGAGAGGAATTTGAGGAGCCTTTTACTTAGTGACATTGATGTCACTGAATGGCCCCCATGAACCCAATTTACAAAGGACCCAATTGACAAAGTTTTTGACTTACGCTGAGAGAAATCTGTAGAAGGGCAAATTTATATTTCTTGTTGGTGATACAATATGGCTGAGAGTTTGTGTTACTCACTCTTGCTAGTGAGCTGTGTCTGAATTTCGGTAATGCTTTCAAGTTAAGTGATATTTAAAGCCTATCAGCAGGACTTAACCTTGGTGAATTCGTGGGACAGTTAGGGGTAGTTCCAACTTATTCTGGCCCAGTTCTAGTTTGTCTCTGCTCCTTGCTAGCTATGTAAACTTGGTAAGTAATGAAGCCTAAGTTTAGTGCGTTCAGACCTAAGGTGGGGAGAATAGTACTTGACTCACCGTGGTGTCTTAAGGATTGAATATGTTTATGTACTTAGAATGTGTGGTATATAGTAAGCCATTCTTTATTGGTAGCAACAGTGTTTTTGATTTGTGCGGTCAGAGTATAATGAACAAATATGTATAGAACATAATTTAGAAAATTTCTAATAATTTACACATTTTTTTCAAATATGCCATCGTAAGTATCATCTAATAATATTGAAAATTAGACGTTTATAGTTCCCGTTTAAAGAAAAGAAAACTGGATAGAGAGGAGATAGGGAAGGGAAGAATTTCTTGGTAGAGGAACCCAGAATTATTTCACTTAGTTTTTATAAATTTTTGAATATGCTGATATACAGCGATGCAAAAACACAATAAAACAACTTCATAAAGTATGGTGCTTAGAATAATAATGACAGATAACGTAATCTTCATTATTATTTCACTGAACAGTATTCCTATTAAAAAAGAAACCACTGGTATAGAATATTCTGGTTGCATAATGTAGTGACATTCTTACCTAGTGGGTCTTTCTAGGCTTCTGTCTATTGAGGATTGATACAAGGAGGCCTGTTAAGATAGAAAAATAGTTCCATGAAAATTTTTACCAAGGTAAAATTTCATTTGTCCGTGGACATTAAATTAGGTATCCTAAAATGAATATTGTAAAAATTGAGATAAAAATACCATGTATTTTGATCATAAAATGTCTTTCAAAGAGAAATCATGTAACTCGATTTCTACTTTCTTCCTATCTACTTTCTCTTTTGATATAATGTGCTGTATTTCTCTTTGTAACTCAAATTATTCACAAACCAAACATTGCCTGGGGCAAAAAAAAAGTTGTTAATTGCTCCTTCTTGGAGGAAATAGACTGTAAGTAGGAATCTTCTACATTAAGGGATGGTTTGTTGTTTAAAAAAAAATATTTGTAGGCATCATTCGACCCTTATACAACATAAACCTTCTTTATAAATTTTTTTGTCATGTTGCCAGGCGTTACCTTCAAAGTACAACATCTGAGCAGAACTGAGACATCTTTCCTCTGTCAACACAGACATGGCATTTTAATAATACCGCCGAATTTGGTTTGAAATTAAACTAAACTATCTGGTACTTAAATCAGGTACAGACTGACATCTTTCAACTTAGTTAAGTTCAGGGTTAGTTTAAACAAATGATTAATGAACCCAAATATAACCTTTTTATAAACAGAAGTGGTCTTTTAACATTTCCATGAGAAAACCAATTCTCCGTTGTCCATGGTTGTAGGAACAAAGGAAAATAGATAATGCAAAGTGACACATAATTCCAAATACCTGTTGTGCACACCATTTTCATACCCCTTCATTCTGAACAGGACAAGGAAACAGATATTAGGCAAAATTATTAGATAGGAAGTTTTTACTCCCCATGGCCATCTCCTAGAATAATTACTGAAGTACCTAAAAGGCAAGAGAGGATCTGTTTTGAGCTCTTGAACATTTGAAATGACACTGCAGAATGAGCGAAAGTGGTTATGGTGCGACGTCTAGAATGTATATAGGAAAATGTATACAAGTATATATGTGTAAGACTGTATATGTGTTCGGGCCACATTTGATCCATTATTTATCACAAACTTTGGTCTGATGAAGAGCTGAAATTCTAGTTTAAAAAATGGCCTTCCGTATGAAAGTTTAAAAACGTCAACCAAAAAGGCAGGATTTGACAGATTTTATTTAAGTGCCTATCACACAGAAATATTTAACCAGAGTGTTAAAAACCTGCTTAAGTGGAAACTAAACCACACTTTAAAACCTATTTCTATAACTTTATTTTCTACTTGCAAATCGGCACCAATTAACCAATTAAAATATTAGTATGTAATTTTGAGATTCTTTATGTAGATCAGTCTGACAAGCCCTCTTATGCATAATTCTAAAGGTGGTTCTGTTAATTAATATTTTCATTTAATTTCTTCTTACCGAATGCGAATGGAATCTTGCCCAGAAACAAACAAAAGCACCTTTCTGCAAGAGACTATCGCCCCTCCTTTGAGACAGAAAAGACACAGTCTAATGTTTTTAATTCCTAGAAAATATTTGGATTCCTAGGTTCTCGACAAATATAAAATTAGAAGAAAGAAATTTGGTCCACTGTCTGATAAATGTACATAATTACTTAACTTGGCAAAGTCTGAATCGTACACTGGAAAAGTGAAAAAAATAAACACTAAATAAGAGGGAAAACAAAGAAGGAAATGAATAAAATATTCTGATTTAGAAACATTAACTCCACAAGTCTGCAGAAGAGCAACATCAAATAGCCTCAGAGTATTGCCATCTGTGTAGAGCACAGCATTCACGGAAATGACAAACCACAGTTGATTATCAAAAAGTGTCAATTTCAGAACATCCCTAGAGTGACCAGAGATTTTGAATTGCCAGCTTGGGATGAGCCTAAACAAAACTGTAACATGAGAGAAAACATAGTGTAAGAAGTGAACGCTCTATACTGATAAATTTATTGTGTTTTAGACTTAGGCAAAGAAATGACAATGATTCCTCCTTGTGCTGGTTTCCATAATCCGAAAGAAACTGAAACCAGTTTTATTTATAGTCAAAGGAAGACATTCGATATTAAATTACAAGGAAACAGGAGGAGGTCTAGATAGATGACCAAGGGAAAAACTTGAATGATAATTACATAAATGACACTCATTCTGAAATGGAGATTGTGTCCAGAAAAGGGGTTAGCTATTTTACCTATTATGATCTACTATTTACATATTACCATTATTTTAACATACCTAAATTAAGTTCATTTTGATAAAGTATGGACATTGAATCACTCTTTCTGCTAAGTGATCGTGTGATTTAACTTTGCTTAGAAGTCCTTAATGGTTCGTCGTTAATGCCAGTTTCTCAGTTGTATTGATTAAAAAGTTTGTTATTCATGGCATATGCTAGACACTTGATAAATGGTAGCCAGGGTGATATGTAATCAATTACAAATTTTACCAGAAATGTTTTACATAAAGATATTAAATATAATATCTAGTACCTTAGCAGAGTGTTTGTTTACACTCTGAAAAACCATGATGTGAGAGTAATATGCTACAGAATCGTACAATAATCCTTCTCAATTCCAAAGAAATAATGGCAAATCAGTTAAATCATCAGCAAAGTGCTTTTTTTATGTGATTTTTTTTTTTTTGGCTACTACCATAGCATGTAGAATGTATAAAATTTCTACAATTTTTAGCCCAAGTTATTGTGTAATGTTAATTATAGAACTCATTTTACAAAAATAGTTGACAAGGAATAGTATTTAGTAAATAACTTGTTTCTGGAAGATTTGAACTCCAAATACATCTCTTGGATGTGCTAAGAAGTGTGGTATAGAGGAAACCTCATGGAAGTGGAGGTTAAGAGATCTATGTTTTATTTTTAACTTGCCACCCTCTTACCTTGTGATATTGGACATATATGTTTTTAATTTTGGGGCTCTACTTTTCTTGACTTAAAAATGAGTGAGTTGGACTTGGTGATCTCTGAATTTTATTTCACTTCTCTAAGAACCAACCACCTTAAAATCATCCTAGAACTATCTGACCAAAATATCAGAAAAAATATCTGACCAAATTGAATTCCAAAGTAAATTGTTGGGTATTTTCTTCTGAGACTGTGCCTGCAATTCCAGTTGTCACCACTGTGTGTCAGTAGTACTTCCTGAAGCATGGGTATCTTAGTAGTTTTATTTTCTAGTTGCACATTTTTTTTTTTTTTACCAAGTTAGACTTTTTGATGAAAGTAAGGTATTTATTAAGTGTCTTTGTATATATTTAGGACCACAGAAAATCTGTGTAAAACCAGTTTACGCACTTTGCTCCCATTCCAGCTACTTCTAAGAATTCCCACACAGAGGCTTTTATATAGCTGATGTTTAGCAAAACTGTCACTTTTGCTTATGTCAACCAGTAAGTCTTAAATATGCTTTCCAAAATAATTTCAATTTTCTTTGCAGAGAGCAGGATAAAATCCTTTGACTCTGGAATGTTTCTTCCTTTTTCATACTCTCTTTGACTATATCAAATAAAATTTGACATTGCCTGGAATTTTTTTTTTTTTGCCTAGCAGATTGTCGTGAGTGATGGCAAATGCATTTCATCTCATATGCCAGTCATAATCTATTATAGTGGCAGCCTGGATTATAGCATTGAGAAGGATTAGTAATGCCTGTCAAGGGTGTTGAACTGGGAAATCGTGACATGTGTCCCAGTTGTTTGTCAGCCCCATTCTTGATTTTATCTGATGCTAAAATCCACAAATTGTATGTAGGAAAATGAAAGAATCAAAATAAATTTTAAGAATATGTGGGGCATCAACATGTAATTAAGAATCTAAACTGTCATTCTGCACCTCCAAGCACGACGATAAAATTACTCTGCCTCGTATTTTGTGCAATCTGATCAAAACAGGTGGTTGATATATGCGCTCAGAGTGCTACTTTTGATTTTTTAATGATCACACTCCAGGACTATGTTGAACAGTTCCACTGAAAGCTATGGCTGGCATGATTCTTCACCTACACTGCAGAAAGAGCCAACAACTTTGGTATAATTAATGTCCAAGCAATGATACTGTATACAACACAACGGTGCAACGGTGGGTTCTCCAAAATAGCTTAGACCCTATGGTCAACTGTTAAAACGCGGATGGTTCAGAATCACAGTAATGGCTCCTAAGAGAGAAATCTGAAAAAGAGAATAATTTGTTTTTACCTCATTGGAAACACCAGAAGAATGATCTTGAACATAGTCCAGAGGCTTTTTAGGAGGCTGGGTGTAGATGCACCACATAAGCAGAAGTGTAGAGATGGAATATGGAGGAGAATCAATGGCAGCAAGGAATGGACATGTGGAAAAGGTGACAACAGTTAGAAACTGAGTGCTGACAGCATCAGATACACATAAAGAGTGCATGAATGGAGCAAAATGGGGGTGGCCCAGGAGGAAGGGTGCCATGTTCGTAAAATATTCTCAAGCACTGGGCAAAATTACTAGTGATTTGATTAGTAAATTTATAAGTTCATTTCATCAGGTCAAAATGAGCACTCCTAGTCTCTAGCCACAGAGGAATGCGAGGTGTATTAAACGAACATTAAAGGAGCAGGTGGATAGCTGGTGAGTTTCCATGTGTGGCTAAAAATGATTACAGGAAAATGCTGATAATTTATGCTCAGAACAGAAATCGGTATGGTCCCTACAAACCACGTAATCAGTAATAACAATACGCAGAAAATAAAGCTAGAGAATCTTTATTCCTCTAAAATAAAATGCATTTATGTGAATACTTGGATACAAATTAGGAAAAAAATGAGAGAAAACACTTTTCCTGTTAAGTATAGAAATTCTAGGAAAAATCTTTTGGTATATATTTATTTACAGTCACTTTTGATCCAGCTCAATAAGATGAGGAATCTAACCAAGTGTCCCTTGCATTTCAATGGACTAAAGGGATGACTATAACCACCCCCCACCCCGCCCTGCCCCGGAACCAATATATGGTCACTTTATGAGTATGCAAATCAGTACATGGCATGGTAAAAGAAAGATTATGCTCTCTGATCTTCCGTAAAATTCTGTGCAGTGGAATAACTGGTAACGTAGAGAGTTTAAAATCCAGTACCACCAGTAATATAAAAAATACACTGACAAATAACAAATGCACAGCTATTGGTAGATAGAATTCCCCAATAAAACTTAATGAAGGAAATCGTTATTGAAGGCTTAGGTTGGCTATCTCAAGCAGACTATGCAGTTCTCACAGGTCTGCCTTTGGCAGGCTTGGGGACAAGATGTTTCACTAGCAAAACTAGAAATCAAGGTCCACAGGGGTTATTTATTTTTCTCTTTCCCTATATTCCTGTGAGTAAATGAGTATTTTATAGTGGGAATATACTGATAATATATTATGGTGGGAATTGCCCAGAGTTTTTCTGTTTGTTTGGTAGGCCCGGGTTTAACTTCTGACTCGACCACTTACTGTCTTGTGCAAATTACTTAACCTCTCTGGTCTCCGCTTTCTTCTTATTAGAGGGGCATCCAGAGGACTCACTGACATAGTGAGTTCAGATCCCAGCGCTCTCCAGGTGCTTGGTCATTCCTCAGCAAATGGGAGCTTTAATAATAGTAATTACTGTTATAAATGCCACAGTACTTCCTGTGATTGAACGAGACCAAAAGGGACTGTAAACAAATATGAATCTTCAATAAATCTGCAACAGTTGTCTAACTATTCCAGGACAAGACCTGTCTCAGCATTTTGAATTTGTTTGGATAGAAAGTAAGCCTAAGTAAAGAGAAGCTGCATAGGAGGTGTCTGGGCATGTTTAACCCTTCGGTACAGAAGTGAATGTGGGCTCAGCTGTACCGAATTTGCATATGCAGCACAGGTTCGGTTCTTGTTCTGTGAATGGCACCTATCTCTTCCGATAATAGTATGTTTTATCAGTCAAACAACATTCCCCTAATTTTCTTACATTAATAGTCTGGCCTCACTTACCGGGCGTCCAAACTCCAGTTCTGAAAAGAATTTATACCAGGGCTCATTTTCTAAATCTATGTCATCTGGATTTATGCGATCATTCTGGAGCAGATGTGAAGGAAAAGGGAAGGAAAAGGCACACTGAGCCGTGTGGTATGAAAAACACGCACGCGCATTCGCACGCAAACAGGCACCGACTCATCCAACGAATCTCAGCAGGACGAACAAAGGAAGTAAAGTAAAATGAGTAAAATCAGGATATGAAGATGAGCTTCGATGGCATCACCTAGGCCCCTAGTCACTTTCTCTGTCCACCTCTGTCCTCTCTTTTGAGTTTTCTCCTTAGCTGGAGGCATAAACCATGAAAAACGCTGTGAGCGAAATGAGCACGGGGAGCACACCTCAAAGAGGCTAACTTGAGCCTATTCAAGTTAAAATAGACTCGACTAAGCCACCGAGGAGCTCCTCCGGGTGAGTCACGCCACCGCCCCTGCCCTCACTGATCCCAGCGTGTAAGCCTGCAGTCTGCAGACAGTTTGCTTGGGTGCAGATATAGGGAGAGCTTGGTGGGGAGGGGAGGGCAAAGGTGGGGAGCGGGGTGAGGGGGAGGAGTGAGAGGTGCCGGGAGGCGGTTAGGGGTCGACTGGCATGAAGAACCTGGGGTCTAGTTGGGAAAGAAAGGGGCAGCGAGGTGGAGGTGGTGGTGAGTAGCTGGGATCTGATTGTCCTCTTAACCTCTGGAGAGTGAGGGCCACCCCTGAGCTTCCCGAGGGGCATGAGATAAGGTAAAGAAGGAAGGAGCTCACCCAGATGGGGGAGAGAGCCGGGGTGCGCGGGCTTGGAATGGGGAGGCCAGTCCTGGGCGGAGGGGAGGGGCTACCAGTTACTCCTCCATGTGGTGAGACAGAAAGAGGCTTCCGGCCAGGTTCCCTTGGAACAGGTGTCGGAGTTGTTGGGAGAGGGGGCTGCAAGAAAGAGGGGCGAAGGAAACACTGATTGATTAGATGGAGGTTCTTGATGCCATGAAGAGGATGTCAGTTAGCAGGAGGAAATGTTTCAGAAAAGGCAAGATGTCCCTTGGGAGACCCAGAGAACTTAGGAATGGTCTGGAGCACTGACAAGATGTGAAGACAAGGAGCCTCCCGGAAAGTAAAGAATGATCATGCTTAATGAGCTACCCCAAGTATCCACTTCTATCCGTCTACCTTGAGCTGGAGAAATGGATTTGGATGGGGTTGGGTTTTCACAGTACTGTAGTTGGCTAAGGGTGGGGAGAGGCTGAACAGTGGAGTCCCACTCTGATTTGGTTGACACGCTGGTTTAGAGAAAAAAACCAATTTTTATAACCGACTTTCTCCCCTCTGGTGGTTTCTGAATATTGTATTCAAGATAGAAAAACTAGGAGTGTTAATATTAGCAGTTTGAGAAAATACATACAATTGCTTTAGTAATAGAAAAAAACAGACATGGAACATTTGCTTTCTCCAACGATATCCTTAATGCTTTTGCATAATATATGCTGATCAGACTGATTCAGGCTGGCCATTACATACTAAATGAAAATGCTTAAAGTATTACGGATGGGTTATTGCTTCTTGGATAAATTTACATGACACTAATCAAACATGGTACAATTTGACAGTAATATTTTAAGTCAGACACACACACACACACACACACACACACACACGCACACACCAGCGCCCTAAAAGCCATCCACCATGTCCAGAAGAGGACATATTCTTGGTAATATTGAGGGCTTTGAGATATTCCACATTCAAACAAAAGCGATTATTTTGACATTAGCTGGTCGAAGCCTTTTACTGACTTTTTGAATTCCCAATCATTTTGTTAATAATATACAGTCTGTGTGCAACGATCAGTTATAATCAAAGTAATTTTAGAGATGTGCTTTTTATTTCAGTATTTTATAATAGGAGATTATAATAGTAGCTATAGACAATGAGGGAGAAATTTGAGGCATCATAACAAAATAGTGCAAGGGCCTAAGTTATCCAAAATTTGCAATGGTCGTGTTGATAAAGACTGTGTAGTAACTCTGGGGATTATTTATGGTGGAATGCTAAGTGATAAAAGCCAAATATGATCATGTGCTTGTACAGTGTTTGCACTGATATCACGAAGTCTGTGTCTGGATGGGCACAGGAAGAAAACACACACATCCACAAAGAAACCACAATGGTGTTCTGGTGTTGAGACTGTTCTTTTCGTTCTTTTAAAATACTATTTTGCTTTCCTGTTATAATGTGGAGAACATCCTGTAATTACTATGGGAAATGTTGCAGAAAACTTGATTCAATTTACACTTGATTCAATAGGATAAAAGGACTCACTGAGGTTTCAGTATTAGTAAAATACTGTTTTTCTCCAATTATCATGTAGATAATAGCTGCGGCTTATGACTGTTTTATGGAATAGTTCTATTGGAGCAGATTTTTAGGGTAATGGATATTAGAATTTTCTAGTAGTTTTTGTTGTGTCTCTAGAGGCCTAGTACTTCTTCCAGAAGAAAATCAATCTTTGGTTCTTTCAACTGTCATTGTTTCTAGTATTATATACTTAGTAATATTACTAATTCTTATTCTATAATCTCTGCTTTCATGTACAGTATTTTGTTTTGCTAAAGGGAGATAGCAGTTTCTCTTAGAGGAAACAAATTTGTTTAAAAGTATTTTGAACAGCAGAGGGCAGCAAATTTACTAAACAAATAAGTATATTTACCAGTGGTTACAACTTCACTTTGACTTCCACCTTAAGAAACTGTATAACCAACAGATATACAAAATCCTGATTTATGGAGATATATTTCTGTGACAGAATGTGGAAAAGGGAGAATATCTACCTGCCTGCATCATATCTTAAAATGACAGTGTTTCATGAATTATGGTTTTGTAGATTGAAAATTTAATTTATAGTCTCATTGGGCAACCATCTAGAACCATGCCAATAGAAATGAGCAGAGAGAATGCCTCAAACAATGGTAATTGGTAATTATCTATAACTTTGGAACTTAATGAAAGGCATATACTTGAGTACAGACTTGATGGTAAAGAAATGCAAATGACAGAGCAAGAATTGTCTTTTCGCTGTGGTTGACCTATTGGATCCCTTTGGTTCCGCAACAATGTCATGTATTACGTAGCCATCTAGATCCACGGCTGAGGTACATAGAGGCCTCACAAAAGTTAGTGATACATATACAGATGGTCAGCCAGCAGAAATACACAAATACACACTCACAATCTCACTAAATCATGCATCACCTGGAATCTCAGGTTCCACGCGTAACCTGAAAGTTCCTTTGAGTTGTTTGACACCAATGGGAACACTGAAAAACTCACTTAGGAAGCGTGGTTATGCTTTACTCTAATTGCCCATTAAAAACAACAAAAAAGCAGATATACTGTTGCACACCTTTCTAACCTTTTTGGTTCCCATTTTGAAAAACCCAGCAAATCTGTGCTAAAAACAAATGTCATGTACCAGTGCAAGAGGAAGTATTTAAGAAAACCTAAAACTATAAATCAGACAGGATTCTTATTTAAAGGCAACCAATGGGGAACAATTTTTAAAGTTTTTGTGTTTTCAATAGTTTCAAACCATTTAGTTGCTTTTGGGGTTATAGAACTCTACGATTCTCCGTATTCTCACTGCAGGCATAGAATTTTGATGCCGAAAAGAAGTGCCAACGTAACTTAGTTCTTCAAAATTTATGCTCATGAGAGTTTAAAGCTTTAATGGCATTCCCTACTATGTTTTATATTTATTGTGGTTCCACAATCGATGATATACATAATTGTCAGCTGGGATCATTCCTTATGGTTCAAACCGTCAGATAGAACTCCCCAAATTTTTATACTTTAAGCTTTGACAATCTTCACTGATAAGGAAGTGTAAGTTCACTGAGGGTTTACATTGCATTTCAACTCTGCACAGTGCATGCGATGATTCTTTCTGTCTGCTTTTATCATTCTGTGCTGGCTAAGTTATTGTAGAGAAAGGTAATATCTTCATATTGTTTTCTATTTTCTCATGTATAGAGAGGTCCTGAATAAGTGCTTCCTTTCCTTTCCTTTCCTTTCCTTTGGGCTCACCTATAAATATATCCAAGCCAGATGGGATGTCAAGTTTTTATCAATATAATCTCAGCAGAGAGTTTTGTATGATTGCCTTATGGAATAAATTGTGGTTCAAGTCAGTTAAAGATAAATTCCTGGCAATTGCAAAGTACGTTTGTAGATCAAATGTTAGGCCCTTTTAATCAACGTTGTCAAGTTTATAGTCAAATGAATATCTACATGCTTCAAAAAGTTGCATTGACCTTTACTTTCCCGTTAAAAATAAAAATGCGTATTTCATTGATTCCTAAGGAAGAAGGGGATCCCTTTGGCCAGAGTCTGGGTAAAGACTTTTATTCAAATAGTAACGCCTCTTCTGCCCACCTTGTACTTACTCCAGGGAATCATGGAATTTGTGAGCCACGGTTGCGAGTAGCAGTGTGTCAAAGCTATTGTGTGTGCTGTGATGGAGACCCACTGTGCCTTTTGTCACTAAGAATGTATCGACTTCATAGAGAAGCAACAAAACAGGGATTCTGTCTCACCAGTTTTACCCACTAACCACAAGGGTAAAACCTATATTCTTTCATGCACTTATTAGTTCGATGACTATTCACTAAACACCCATCATGTGTGCTAAGTGCTAGCGGGCTAGGTGCTGGGGATACAACGGGTGCACTCGACATGGTCCTGCCTTCAAGGTGCTTAACATCCAGTGAGGGACACAGACAAGTAAACAGGCCATTACTATTCGGTGTGTGAGGAGGAAATGTGTGCTACAGACACACAGGAGGGAAGCTTTACACCCGGGGTGGAGGAGTCAGTGATGATGCCTTGGGGAAAAGAGACAAGGCCACGGGTGAGATGGGATTTTCCAGTGAAGAGAGAGGTGATGGAAAGAGCTTTTCCCTCCTGGCGGAGAGAAAGCCTGTGCAAAAGTCCAGGAAGGCAGACATTGAAGGCTATCTGTCTAGCTGGAACATGGTTAGTAGGCAGGAAGAGATAATGAGGCTGAAAAGGTCAGCAGGAACCCAGATCACAAGGTTTTTTGGAAATTACATTAAGAAATTTGGATTTTGCTCTAAGTATACTTGAGAGCCAGGAGAAAGTTTTGAGAAGGAAGTTTTATAAAGTTTCCTAAAGATTGCCCTAACTGTGGGGCGCCTGGGTGGCTCAGTTGGTTGAGCTTCCAACTTCGGCTCAGGTCATGATCTCACAGTTCGTGGGTTCGAGCCCCACATAGGGCTCTGTGCTGACAGCTCAGAGCCTGGAGCCTACTTCAGATTCTGTGTCTGCCTCTCTCTCTCTGACCCTCCCCCACTTGTGCGCCCTCTCTCTCTCTCTCAGAAATAAATAAACCTAAAAGAAAAAGAAAAAGATTTCCCTAGCTGTGGTGCAGAGACTGGACTGGATAATTAGGGAGAATAATTGGGTGGCTGTCACTGTAATCCAGGCAATGGGTACATTGTGGACCAGAAGAAGGGATATCTGTAGCATATGTCCTAGTGGTAGGACTTTGAGATCTTTGGGGGAGAAGGGAATCCAAGATAACACTTGGGAAGACTGGGCAGAGGAGGGGGTCATCTAGGAATTCAAAAAGGCAACAGAAAATTACCAAGAGGTTGTGTATAATTTACAAAAATTAAACAGGAGAGGAGCAAAGGAATGCTCACACACCATCTTGGGGTAAAAAGATGCGGGAGAGCATTCCATTGAAACCCCGAAGTTTTGTCTGTGTGCTTTTACATCACTCTCATTTAGCAAATCTGCTCTTCATCCTCTGTATCTTGTGGGTATCTTAAGATACGCCAGAATTGTACGTAAACTACATCAGTATATAGCCAGTCTCTGAGATACCACTGTGCACTTAGCCTTTTGGATTTTTTTCTAATTTAGAGAGCCAATGAGAATGAATTTCAGGATTGTTGAAAAGAAAAAGAGGATAATAGCTTGGTCCTAGAATAAAAAAAGCCTGGCCAAAATTACGTAGACTCCTAGCCCAAATCCTTTTTGCATAATGCTGGCCCCCAGCAAAATTGTTTAGGAGGAACAGAAATGTTGATTCTTTCTGTTTCTCCATAAGGTATCTGTTCTCATTTCCTTCCATTCCTTCCCCTCTTTTTCCTGTGGCTGCAGAGCCCTATCTGTACCCAAATCTCCAGCAATACAAATACTTCCAGAACTTTCTGTTCTTCTTTTTTTTTTTTTAAATTTTTTTTCAATGTTTATTTTTGGGACAGAGAGAGACAGAGCATGAATGGGGGAGGGGCAGAGAAAGAGGGAGACACAGAATCGGAAACAGGCTCCAGGCTCTGAGCCATCAGCCCAGAGCCCGACGCGGGGCTCGAACTCACAGACCGCGAGATCGTGACCTGGCTGAAGTCAGACGCTTAACCGACTGCACCACCCAGGTGCCCCTCTGTTCTTCTTAAAATACAAGTCTAACTTTGCACACCCATTAAATGAAAGACTCAAAGTTCCTCAAGATAGAGTCTGTGTTTTGTTCACTACTGTGTCCCTAGCACCTGATACCGAATTTAGCACATAGTTGGTGCTCAGTAAATGTTGAATGAGTAAATAATAGAAATATCCTGGTGAGGAAGCTTCTAAAATCAATCCTGTTGCCTGAGATCACAGCTCCTAAAGTGTTCCAATATAATCACAATGTTCTTATGCATTCTTAGAATGATTATTAATGAGCCTTTTATTATTTATATTTAAATCGGAGTCTCATTGTTGTGCATAATTATTTTTCTGTTTTCAATTTTATGCAATGGTAACATTGTGGTTCACGCAATTCTCATCCCAGAAATTTCAACGTATCCTGATATTCAATCATATAACCTAGTAAATGGGTTATAAGTTTGCACTAAGCCTGCAAACCAATGGTGTTCCTTTTTTTTTTTCTTTCAGTTTTTTTTTTGGTGAAGTTCTGTTACCCTAAAAGATGTGGGTTATTTGAAGAAAAGCAAAGATGGCTTAGATAAATATAATGCGTGAATTATGTGATTATAAGGTTTTTGAACATGTTTCTCAAGAACATAACCATAAATACAGGGTTTCAAAAGCTAAATGCAGGATGCTTATGTTGGGTGTGGTAAGGCAAAGGTTTCCAATCAAATTTCAGGGCTGGCCTTGCATTATATATAATAATGTGCTTTCTCGGATACTCTTAAGGGAGTAAACAAAGAAAACTCTCCTTTTCCTGTTCACTGACACCACCCCAAATTCTTCTAAGGCAAAGAGGAGAGTAAATTGCAAATGGCTCTCTAGAAGCAGGTTTTGATAGAAATGCAAAGGAATCATAGTTTCAAAGGGATCCTGTGGGCACTTATCTCGGAAGGAAAGCAAAGGACTTGGAAAGGAGGATGGAAGGAAATAAAAACCAAGACCGAGGAATAACCTGTTTGTTAAATTGCACTTTGAAGCGGCAAGTGGCTCTTTTCAAGTTTATATCTCTTTTTGTTTGCATACATTAAATAACTAGCAAAATTTCTGCAAAGTTAAATATAATCTTGATCCATTAGATCGACAATCAGGAAGCTTGAGGCTTGGTAACCTGAGAGAGATTTAATAAGAATCAATTAAAACAACTGTTTTTTCTTTTTTTTTTGAAAGGCATTTCAGAAATTTCCCCTTAATCCAAAGAAATATTAAGCAACAGATACGGAAGCCAAGGGGTGGAACTGTGTGGGTTCAGTTGTATCAGAGAGACTAATGAAAGATTTTTCTCATTAGCAATGGAGACTAGCAATTAAGACTAATAAGACAAGCCATTAGTTATGAATTTTTTAAAAAATTAAGCTCAGGGCCATGATGAGGCCCAGCTATAGTTATATGCCAATGGATCCCATATTTGGTTGGTAGGGGCAATAAATTAGAGCGTGTGTCTTCATTTCTCAGGCAATATGCACGAATCGTGACACAAAATAAACTTGATTTTTAAATAATGCCAAATACATAGGTTACGTTTGAGACAAAAATTACTAAACGATACAAAATCCAGGTCTCCTTGGGAACCCAGAAGCCTAGAGAACTAGCATCCTGTTGAATGACAAGTGCTTACGGGTCTTTCGTGCTGCAGAATTGATGACTTCCCAGGTTCATACTCAAAAATACTCCTTGGCTCAGAACGAAACTTTCTGGTGTCCACTTTTCTGTCTGGCGGATCCCAGTCATGCCTAGAAATAAACAACAAATTACATATAACATAATTCTCTATGCCTCAAGCTGTTCTATAAAACCATTGGCTATCTGTTTACAGAGTTAATTTTAGTATCGAGTTTTAAAAAGTACCTCAGGATAAAAAGTTAATCTGCATAAACACACCCCATTTACATGTTGTCTTACATAAATGATTTAAAGAAAGACTTTTATTTCATGTTCTATTTTCCTCTATTTTTTTTCTCTCACAAGTGACGATCCTGCTGGCTCCGTAACTCACACGAGGGGTTTACAGACCCGCATGCTGCCAGTGATCTGCCTGTAAACCCTTGGGATCATGTACAAATAGCAGCTGTGTATACTTGTGTTTAGAATAGGTGGCGGTTATGCTCCATTGAGTTACGTGAGTTTTGCACCACTCTGTGACCTGGCATCCTTGATCCAAAGCGACAAGGAGTAATGCACACGCCATGTTTCATCTTATTTATCCTGCAAATGGCATCCCAGTGTGTCTGTGAAAAGGACAAAAGTGTCCCTTGGATCGCCAGCCAGAGAAGCAAGCTGTGTGGTAGGGCAGAGCCTCCTTTGGTCTTACCCTTGGAAAACCAGAGTGAGACAGCCATCCTATTGCATAAGAGACCTTGGAAGCAGCTCTTTTTCCTGAACTAATATCCTTCAAAAGGCGGTCAACGAGGGACTTTGAAAGTAAAGCTTTTCTAGGTAGCCAGGGCTATAGAAGGCTTCCTTTGTGAGGATCTTTTTTCTGCGAGAAGAATTTTCTGACTATAGATGGGAGCAATTCTGACCCATGGAATGAGATTAAATTCTCACTCCGAAGCACATTGGAAATAGAAATGCTTTAAGAGACAGGACAATTGGGGACAAGTCCTGGCTTACCAGTAACTGATGACTGATATTCAACAGATGTATTTTGAGCATCACATGAGGCAATGTATGTGAAAGACATCTAGAAATTTTTAAGAGATTATCATATTTTTTAATGAGATTTATTTCCACTAAACATAGGACATATAATACATTTAAATTTGAGTTAATTTTGGTTCTCTTTAAGTGGCAGAGATATGATTTTGTGTCTAGACAATTATGTCTCAAATTTAAGACATCACACTTACAAACCTAGAGTTTATCACGAGGAGATTGGTATTAAAGTGAGGATCTCTTCATACATGATGTACATCTATTTTCATATCTCATACCCAATTTGATCACCAGTTACTCTTAATGGTACAATGGCATGTTGAATATAATATTTATGGGATGTTTATGATAGGTGGATGCTTAAAAATTAGTACTGATGCTAAATAATTCTTATATTTTCATTAATTGCTGTATCTCATGAGCTATGGCTTTAATCAGAGCTGAGTTGGGACATACTGGCTATATGAGCTGAATAATTTTATTTTCTAAAACAGTTGATTTCTCTCTAAAATGGGTTTAAAGTAGAACAAACCTCATTGAGTCATTCTCAGAATTACATGATATAATCCAGGAAAAGCACTTAGCATAGTGCTTGGTTTATCGTGAGCTCTCGATAAAGGTTACCTATAAGTAGGATTATTAGTCATAATCCTAATTAAAAAAATGCACAGTAACAGTGTGTTTATAAATTTTTATTTTCGTGTAAATAGTTTCTATAAAAACATTTCAGTGGGGAAATGAAAATTAGTATCATCTTGAAAAGCTGGTATAAATGAGTCACAGATAGACACTTACTAACTAATGCCTTATTTATTATTTATGAATAATTTTGCCTGCTTTCAAAGAGAGGCTTTTGTGTATGAGAGGGGAAATTTTAAGTCATGAACAGACCTAACATTTTGAATCTGAAGAAAATGAAAACGGCATAATCTCTGACATGCTATGCCAAAGGAAGTACATGTCCGTTATTTCTATTTATTATCTTCTGATATGCATTTATTGATCAAAAAGTAGAGATTGTGCACATGTTTTTTTGTTTCAATTTTTTAATGTTTATTTTATTTTTGAGAGAGAAAGAGACAGAGTGCTAGCAGGGGCGGGGCAGAGAGAGAGAGGGAGACACAGAATCCGAAGCAGGCTCCAGGCTCCGAGCTGTCAGCACAGAGCACGACGTGGGGCTCGAACTCATGAACCACAACATCATGACCAGGCGCCCTGAGATTGTGCTCATGTGATTATGATATTATGAGCCAAGACTGTGAAAACGTTTGGGGCGCCTGGGTGGCTCAGTCAGTTAAGCATCTGACTGTGGCTCAGGTCATGATCTCACCCCTTGTGAGTTGGAGCCCTGCATCGGGCTCTGTGCTGACAGCTCGGAGCCCGGAGCCTGCTTCGGGTTCTGCGTCTCCCTCTCTCTCTGCCGCTCCTCTGCTTGCACTCTGTCTGTCTGTCTGTCTCTCTCAAAAATAAATAGACATTAAAAAAAAAAGATTGTGGAAGTGTTTGTCACAATCCCAACAGGGGAGGTCAACATGGCATATATGTTGACTAATAAGGTTATACGCACAGTATCTTGCTAAGGTAAGCACTGACTCTTCTACTGAGTGCCATCCGGGCTTACTTGTATCCTAAACTAAACAGAGGCCACTTCTGGGGACAATGCCTTACTTTTCCGTCGAAGATCGATCTCTTGGTCGAAGTGGTGGAACTGGAGGAGGAACGTGCGGGGGAGGGATGGGGGAGGAGGCATCCTTAAAGACATCAGTGCCGTTGTCGGAGTGGCTTTTGGAGAGGGGTCTGTAGGTCTGGGTCTTTGCAGCAGGATGTGACTGAGCGCTGTAGGGTGAGTTGTACAGGCCTATCATGAAACACAGCACAATAAAACAAACAGAAGCAGAAAAACATTTTAAAAGTGCATTAAATTGTTTATACCCCACAAAACATCCAATGATTTTACCCAAGTTTTTATCGGCAAGCATATTCATCACGCATGCATCAGGCGGTATGTTCTTAATCGATTTATCAATATTATTAATCTATTAATCATTATTAATATATTAATTTATTAGCGATAGGTTCTGTACACAATCATTGATTGCAGTCAATCTTCAACAGTCATTTTAAAATTAGTAATGATTCAGGCTGGTATTAGGTATAAATCTACAGATACTCAGCAAATTTTCTCCTGGATAATATAAACAAATAACATAGTTAAGGTTTCAGGGGAAGATTAAAAATAGTTCATAGAACTGTTTCCAAATATCTCCTATTACTTTAAAAGCTCTGATTTACCTATGATAATTGACATGTTAATTGCAATCACGCAAAATGTAGTTTTTCAATTTTTTATTTTAGCTTATTTTTTTTTACAGAGTATGCATGAGTGGGGAGAGGGGCAGAGGAAGAGGGAGAAAGAGAATCCTAAGCAGGCTGCACGCTGCTCAGCCTGGAGCCCAACGTGAGGCTTGACGCAGGACTCGATCCCACGACCCTGGAATCATGACCTGAGCCAAAATCAGGAGTCAAGATGCTCGAGGGACTGAGCCACCCAGGTGCCCCAATCAAACAAAATATTGAGCAAGTTGTATATGTGCTGTGCAAGGCTTAAGGACACAAAATCCTCAGCAAGCTTGTTGTATATCTGAGGAAATGAGACACGAATAGAATTGTGATTGCAAATAATTGGTGATCTGACAAAGGCCAGATGAGGAAAATGCATATGAGGAATGAAACATTTTAGAGGATGGTGGATTGGTCAGAGAAGATATTATGGACCAGATGGCACTAGGATGAGCCCTGGAGAACTGGTTTGCGTGGGTCGGGGAAGAGGGAAGCAGAGATGGCTCAGGACAAAAAAAAGAGGCAAGACATAGCACAGTGGGACTCAGGGTTTGTAGAGAGGGAAGAGGCTAGTTACAGTTGCTTCGTCTACCAATTAAACGGCAAAACTATCTCAAAAGGGCTCTGCAAGGTTATATGTAACTATTACTCTTCAATTTATTAATTACTAATGGCTACAGAATTTCAATAGTAAAGATAGTAATAAAAATTCTGAATTTCCTGCCACCTCAGACTTGTGAGTTAAGTCAATTTTCACTCATCTGCTTCTCCTGAGGGTCCGTACAACTTGCCATGACAAATGGAAAGACAGTGTCTACACACGTACTGTTTTGCTTGGGTTCCACGGTCAGATGTCAACTGTACAGCTTGTTAAAAACATATGAGGCCCAAAATGGAGTCACTTATGCTAAGCACCCCCGTCACCCAGTGGAGACTTAATTACAGTTTTGAGCAGAAATGGCCCCTTAAACCAGACCATCAGGCATCGCCTGACCAGCAGGGGTGAGGTCATCTCACTCACAGACCCCTGCCCTCCCCTTAAAGCAAAAGGAACCTTGCAATAATCTCCTTTTTTTTTTTTTTTTTGCCCAGTGTAACTTCCTTGTTTGGCTCCCTTCTGCCTATAAACGTCTTTCATTTTGTACAGCTCCTCAGGGCTCCTTTCTATCGGCTAGATTGGATGCGGCCGCATTCGTGAATCGTGGAACAAATCCAATACTATCTTTAAAATTTACTTGGCTGAATTTTGTTTTAGAACAAGCTAAACACAGGAGGTGAGTTTGGAGTACCTGTGGCTTGGGATACAAGTTGAGGGAAAGATTTTCCTGGGCTTCCTGCTGCCACGTGGAAGAGTGAGGACCTAAATCTCAGAGGTCTTGCAGCTTGCTAAGCTCGTTCTACCTGTGTTTTCTTCTCTGTTTGTCTTTGGAGACTCCTAGCAGAGTCCCTGACAGTTAAAGGGCCTGGGTGCTGGCCTTCAGGCAGCAAGAAGGGGAGAACCTTATGCAGGCCTGAGGCCAGGCTGGCCAGGGGACCCCTTACAAGGGTGCAGGTGAACAGCCTGAGCCTCAGAGCCTGCTCTCAAGAAAGGAAACTGTTCAACAGTCACTAGCCTGGGGCTGAGTGGTGACAGGAGGCCCTATATAGGATCCCCTAATGTGACGCTTAGGGGAAAGGGAAGCATTTTGTAGGGATCCCTCACTCCAGCCCTGCCACCATTTCAGAAGATACCAACGCCCTCAAATACAAGTAGAAACGCCCAGAATTGAAGTCATGCCATTATGACTGTTGGCAACTCTGAGTCAGAAAAGTGGCCTCAGCAGAGTGGGATTTTTAAAAACCCTTCAATGAATGGTTGCATTTTGGGAGCCAAAGCATGGACAAAGTCACAAAATACTTTTGCTTGACTCGTTTTTTTGTGAAGTGTATCTGAAAGATCTTACGCAATTGTGATCACTCTCTCTGCTGATAAAAAGAGATCTTTATCTTATTTTGTACCCCAGTTACAGTGTGTTCTTTCAAGCCGTCCTTCATACTTTGGTTAAACATTCCTGAAGCTGCAAATAAACGGACAGTGTGAGAATGAAGGAGACAAAACAGTATTAGTTCTCATTTCCATGGGAAAAGATCGATCCTTTTGTTATGCATGCTTTGAGAAAAGAAAAAAGAAAAGCATCCTCTTAATTGTCTACACTGAAAACATGCGCTCAAACAGTGGTAACACAGTGAGTGGGAAGTGACTCCCAGCATACAGTATTCATTGCGAGCAAGAACCCCGTCCTACCTGCATTATATGTATAAGGAGTATTATACATGTCTGTGTCATCATCTAGAAAATGAAACATAAATATCATGGTAATACACGTTCGGTCACCATATCGTAACAAGACAGTAGAACTTCAGAGAAACAAAAACAATTTGGTAGAAAACCAGGGTCTCTTGCCTGGTGCATAACACCATTTTTCGAATTTTCTAATACTGCTTTGTTCCCGAGCTGCTGCGGTTTGACCTCGCTGGTCCGTAACATATTTGCTGGGTTGCCCTCTCCCCAGCATGCAGGGCCAGGGCTTTTTCCTCACTTCCTGGGCCAGCCTTCTCTTCTGAATCATGAATTTCCTCCGGAAGTGCTTTCGAGATCTTTTGTGAAGCTAGTGAGACCTACCTCTGCTTTCTCTCTCTCTCTCAATCAGCAGCTGGCATGGGTGGACAGAGGAACAATGACAGCGCCACACCCCACACCACGCCAGACTGTGGCTGGGGAGGGAGGAAGGGACCAGAGCACCTGGCACCCCTCCAGGGTCACCTAATAAGAGGCTTCTTGGCAGCTCAGGGGTGAGGCAGCAGCCCAGGTGTCTGTGACTTGAGGACGGTAGAAGGAAAACAAGGAGGAATGTTGAAAGAGGGACCGCCATGGAGTTGCTAGGGTCTTAACGTTTTGTGTGAACCGGAACTCTACAGGAGGATACGTGTATACCCTTTGGCCTGGAGGATCCGATCAGAGAACAGAACAACACACATACCCGGCTTGTGTACCATGTGGATCTGCTTGAACATCGTCTTGTACCAGTCCTTCGGTCTGTCAACTGTCTGTAAGAGAGAATGTTCAGTAGTTACAAAACCGGTTCTGAGTCAACCCTGCTTGCCCCTCCACGTTTTTCTTTCTACATTTTATCTTTTCTAATAGCAGGTTTCTGTCTGTGATTACAAAAAAGAACAAAAACCTATTTCATGATGACAATACTAGTAACTTACCTAGTTATGCATGGGGTTTGTAAATATGTTACCCCTTTAGGTTGAATTTAGGCTGAATTGGGACATTATATGCTGTGGCCAAATCGCACTTGCGCCCAGCATTAGATAGTTGATATTTGTACAAACATATTTATATAAAACGCACTGAATAAAAGTTGTAGTGTTGTTATAGTTTGTTGAACTCCTTTTGGTGGTAATTAGCATTATCCTTAAAAACATTTTCGTGAGGGTTCTGTTGAAAACATTATTTTTAGAATTAACTAGGGAATATTTTTTACTGTATTCTGATCAGCTTAGACTTAGAGAAATAAAAATATGATATTTACGGGGCGCCTGGGTGGCTCAGTCGGTTAAGCCGCCGACTTTGGCTCAGGTCATGATCTCACGGTCCATGAGTTCGAGCCCCGCGTCAGGCTCTGTGCTGACAGCTCAGAGCCTGGAGCCTGTTTCGGATTCTGTGTCTCCCTCTCTCTGACCCTCCCCCGTTCATGCTCTGTCTCTCTCTGTCTCAAAAATAAATAAACGTTAAAAAAAAAATGATATTTACTAGGTTAAGTTCATTAAACCCCGAATGTAGTACAGTCAAGGGTCCTGCGGTAAATCTAAAAAAATGTAGACATTGTTTAAAACTTTTTTTAACATCATAAATAAATGTATGCAGCATTTGCTTTGCTAAACTATAAATTCCTTGAGAGTAGAAGCTCTTTCCACATGCCTGGATTAGGACACGATAGAAACTGGGTTGTAGTGGAAAGAAGAAATTAACGTCACCTCAACCTAGATTCAAGTCTTGCTTCCTTTAATTATTGTTTCATACTTCCTAGCAGTATGAATTTAGATCATTTAGGTAAGCTTTTAGAACCTCAGCTTGTCCTTCCTAAGATGAAATAATTATATCTACATCATAGGATTGTGATGGAAATGGAATGAAACCATGTATATAAGACCTAAAACAATGCCTAGAATGTAAGAAATGCTCAATAAATAGTAACAGTCAGTAGGGAACATAACATATTTATAGAATAAAATAATGAAAGAACCCAGGTCATTGGATGGAATTCTACCTGATTACATACCTGTGAAAGTAGACCTACACTTTTATAATCATAATTAAAGATTTTGCTTGGCAAGATCTTCATCTCAACGTTTCCAGAAATACTCCAGCAAGAAACCCAATCATTCTGTATATAGTGATAAATACACCAGATTTTCCAAGACCATTCTCTTGATATAAAATATTCTGTTAGGACTGCCACACAAATATTCTTGTATTTTTTAAAAGACTGAGCGTTCCTTTAGATTTTATATCCTATTTTTTTCCCCTCAGAAATGTGGTAATTGCATTTTTCATCTGGAAATTGAGGGTTTTGTGCCGCATCTAATTTATTTTGGTCTCTGAGCATACATGGTTCTGATAATCACAAGAAATATAGATTAATATTAAGAACTGCTTGACTTTGTTCTGAGTCACCTCGTCATTCATTGTAGGCTCTTTCTACATTGGAAAAGCTTTGAGGAGATTGTTAATTGACCTTATTTTCAAATGATGGGAGCTGGTGGGAGGGGTGCAGTGATGAATCAGGAGTTTAGTTATTATTGGCTGATTTAAATAAAGTGGCTGAACATGTATCTTTAAGGGACACTTTCATAAAAGATCAGTTTCTCTTTTGTTAAGCTCTGTTTCCTTTATGTCTTCAGCAATAGAAAATAAGATGTAAGTCGGTGCAAACATGTTTCCCAGCCATACCTGGACACAACAAATAGCAACAAGGAAGCCTAAAGAAGTGAGTTATATCCCTGTATATGGCAGTGTATCTTGACAGACAGGATTTTTTTTTTCTTCACTTGCTGGAGGGCACATATCAGGCAGGAGCTTAGTTTTGCCATCTGCTAGCTTTATATGGTGAGCACAGAGATGCCAGGAAATGCCCAGTGGTTGGCAAAGAGGAGTATGAAACTGGTGTAGGGCAACACTAAAACTCTTTGTCCCTTTCTAAAAGAAGCACTCTGGGCATTTGAAGTTTCTTTTATAAATGGCATCATGGACATGTTATGTCTAATACTGAGATTAAGTAAATAGAAGTCTACTCAAGTTTAAGGAAGTTTGCTTTTGTATGTGTCCTTCAAGGTTACTTTGTATGGGCAGTAACTATTAGCAATTCACGATTCACTTGTTTTCTATAATCTTGGCAGAATTCACCTGGATTTTACTTTTCTACAGTTTACAAAGTATCAAAACTCGATGTTGATTTATCACGCAGAGATTTCCAAAAAGGGAAAAGACACATATTTTCTACGTACGAGTATACAGTGATTCTATTCTATTTTTGCCCCTTTCCAGCTTTGAAAATGCTCGAACGGTGTTATATTTGAACTGGAAAAAAAAAAAGAGTCTTGTATTTCACTTAACTAGCTGGCTTTAATTAGACAGCCTCCTGGGATCTGAACCCCAGCGATTTTTGTTGTTGTTAAGAATGGCAGTAAAAGGCTAACCCAGACGTCCCAGGTCACATGAGAGAGGGCAGACTGGGGAGCCTTCATTCAAATAACTCAAAGGTACACTTGTTGACTTTTGGCTTTCTAGAGTTTCTAGCTTACAAAATTCTGTTTCCTTGGTGTAGGCTGGTTGTCTAAAATGAGGCTACAACATGATACACTGAGACAGTACTGCCTTTGGTGGATACGCTGAGCAGAAAGTCCATGTAAAGCAATTTGAGTCTGATAATCATTACTCTCTACACGGATGAGAAAGAAAAACAACCTTGGAGATTCTTGGCCTGCTGTGGCTCAGAGACGGCCTGACTCAACATTTATAAACACAGCTATACTTGGGGATGTGCTTGGCGAGGCTGAAAAACAGGGAACGCAAGTAAGAGTCTTCACAGACCTGTACCTTGTGCGTACAATTTTAAAAGTCTAAATAAGAGCACAGCTGTGCCTAAAAATGACGGTTCCTTATAGGGAACTTCTGGGTTGCTTACATTTTATTTCCCATTTTACAGAAGGGGAACCAGCACTGAATGTTTAGTATATGTATTTGCATATGCATATCTAAACATGCTTTTGATTTGCACGTAGGAAGACCACTAGAATTTTAATATCACTTGATTTTCACTAACCTTTGACAATGTCTGGTATTTTTCCTTTGGGAAACTAAGAAGCAAGTCTTTGCTGCTTAAGAAAATTATGTCGGATGGATAAAAAAAACTGGTCCAGCTTTTCATGTTGTTTCTTATATATCATTTATCATGTTAAAAACACACCCAGAGGTCTCAGACACAATCCTTTCAGACAGAATCTACAACAAGTTAGAGTCAGGAATATCCTAATTTGTGTATATACTATGACTCGAGGGTCGATTAAGCAAAACCAATGACACCATACCTGTCTGACACTGCATCCCTACGTTATTTGGAAAAAAGATTCCAGTTAAACCATTTTGAGTCAGAAACCTTCAAAGGGAAACAAATGACAAAACACCGTCACCAGAAACATGCAGTTGTCTTAAGACCGTTAGTCACAATCCCTGAACTTTTTCTGTGACTTAAATATGACAATCATCAGTTCCAACATAGATTGTTAGGACTTGATAATTAGTCACATTCAGTGTTCCCAGAATCTAGTGCGTCTACAACCCCATCAACTGCTGTGCAGGTTGACTTTCTGGCTTGCAATTCTGATACAGATGCTTGGAATAATCCATTTTTTAACTCTTCTCTCAGAACGCGCAATCCCCATCTATGAGAAATGCAATCTTACCACTGCTTTTTTTTTTTTTTCCTGATCTCTTTCCCATTCGTTTCCTCTATCCACTATTGTCTTTGCACCCCCTCCCCACCCCCCGCCCCCAGGGTTTGCATTCCAGGGAAGCAGCTCTTGGCAACACCCCTGCCAGGTAGGCAGGAGTATGCAGCCTGAGCCCTCTCCTTGCAAAGCCCCCCAGTTCACCTGCAGACGTGCTGCGGCCCTCATCCTGGCTTCCAGAGTCTTCCTTCTGCCGGCTAGCACAAACCTTCTGTGCGAGTAGACTGGTCAGCGAGCAGCTGCCTGCCCGGGCTCTCAGTAGCTGCCTTTGCTGCTGCTGAGCTTTGCCAGAAGGGGCTGCCCTGACACACTGAGCAATGCTTTGGCAGAGTTTAAAGCCAAAAAAAAAAAAAAAAAAAAAAAAAATCCAAACACTTTCACTTAATATCCCTGAGGGCTCACAGCAGGCACAGCTGAAGAGGGACACTAAAATGTGTATTTTTCTTCACAGTTTTTTTTTCTTTCCATGACATTAACTCCCTTTGCTGCAATCATCTCACCGCCCAGCTGCCAATTCACGGCTCCCAAGCTCCTGATGTTAACACACATCCATTTCAAGAAACAAATCCCTGGTTTATTTGCAAAGCAGTCAAAGCATTCACCTTGTCTCGTTCCTTCTCCTTTCTCTCTATTGCCCTAACGCTCCCTGGAAGAGGTGAAACAAAACAAAATATACCTTTATTGTTCAACAAAACTCACAATCTTCGTGATTTTCGATTAAGATGCAAACACAGATTCTGCGATTAGCTTCAATCCACAGTTCTTTTCCTCTTTCTCTGCCACATACAACATAGTATTCACGAGAACTCAAATGGCATAGAGGGCAATCCTCGTTATATAAGACCATAGGAATGCACAAAGCCGTTGACAATCCGGCCTTTGTAGAGCCTGGGCATAGCCCTGCAGCCACCACGCTGGCATTTCCTACCGTTCTAATTGCGGTGGGGATTCCGGATTCATCCACGGGCCCGATCCCCGGGTAGTGGGGGGCTTTGATGACCGTCACTCTCTTCTCCTCCTCTGAGGATCTGTACAGTGGTATGGAGCTGCCCATGGTGCCGTCCAGAGACTGCGCGTGCTGGGGATAGGTCTCTGTGGAATCTGCGGAGAAAATTTGGTGACATATCATGTATTTGATGCGCAAGGACTCATAAGTTGACGGCGCCTCTTGTATATTTATGCCAACTGTAACGTAGAATCTATTTCCATCGCTCTCTCTTTTGACCCATTTACCTTGCATTCGAGCCACTCGTTGTTAGCATGTAGGTATATACCCAACAGAAGAGTAACAACAAGATCCTCGTCGTTGTCTGAAGAAGGGGAGGGGGAGGGTGACATTTGTGGAAGGACCGCGTGGCTGTGTAGCAGCCACTGTTAAGACAGTACTTTACATCTATTAGCTCACCTCACCGTCCATTTAATTAATTAATTACTTTTTATTTTGTTACAATTTTTTAAATATTTATTTATTTTGAGAGAGAGAGAGAGAGAGAGAGAGAGAGAGAGAGAGAGAGAGATTTTAGAACACCAGCAGGGGAGAGGCAGAGAGAGAGAGGGAGAGAGAGAATCTCAAGCAGGCTCCGCACTGTCGGTGCAGAGCCTGACTCAGGGCTCGAATTCAGGAACTGTGAGATCATGACCTGAGCTGAAGTGAAGAGTTGGACACGTAACCAACTGAGCCACCCTGGTGCCCCGTGGGGAGGCTCCGTTTTATAGATGAGGAGGCAGACCGAGACATTATCTTTGTGAAGTTGCTGACTACTGTTATTTGAAAGCACCGGAATGTCCTCTTAGAGCAAAAGATAGGACTGTTGAGTCTACAGCAGCAATTTCATATAAATAAAGTGAAAACAAAAATCACATTAAGAAATCCCCACATCCAAACACATACTTAGATGGGGTGAAGGCTCATGGGTTAAATGGATGATTTCAAATTATTAGTGCTGATTTTTATTTTAGTAGACACGATGGCCAGATATCTTGGCTGTTACTTTGAAGCATAAAACCCACGACTTGCCCCTTGAGTATAAAAATTGCCCCGAGCTTATAAACGAGATGAGATTTATCATGTTCCTAGCTTCATGCCATCGTTAGTAACTTTTAGTATACTTTCATAAGAAACAGAGAGGACACATACGTACGGTACATTCCACTTACTCTTGGTTCACAGATATTTATGAAGATCAACAGGATTACCATTCATTTTGTACAATGGATAATACGACTTCCTGCTGTTTTGCAATAAATTTCAAAATTTTGGTGAGCAGGAATGATTCTTTGCCGTAGTTTGTCTGATCTGGTACTCAGAAAGGAAGGTCTCTCTCTCTCTCTCTCTTTAATGTTTGTTTGTTTGTTTGTTTGTTTGTTTTAATAAAAAAAATCTTTATTTTTGAGAGAGAGACAGAGACAGAGACAGAGCACGAGCAGGGGAGGAACAGACAGAGAGGGAGACACAGACTCCGAAGCAGTCTCCAGGCTCTGAGCTGTCCGTGCAGAGCCCGACGTGGGGCTTGAACCCATGAAAGCAAGTTCATGACCTGAGCCAAAGTCAGACTTCCCACCGACTGAGCCACCCAGGCACCCCAGAAAGGTGTACCATTACTTGATGACATATATATGCATATATGTGTGAATATATATGCAATCTATCTATTGATCTACATTACATATTGTAATCTAGTAATGGTACTTCAGGGTACCATTACTTGATGACATATATATGCATATATGTGTGAATATGTATGTAATCTATCTATCGCAAAACATATGATAGTATTTTTTTATTTGTTTATTTTTTACTTGAGAGAGAGAGTGCAAGCAGGGGAGAGGAACAGAGGGAGGGAGAGAGAATCTTAATTTTTTTTTTGAGAGAGAGTGCACACACGTGCACACAAGTGGAGGAGGGGCAGAGGGAGACCTGATGGGAGGCTTGATCCCATGACCCTGGGATCATGACCTGAGCCAAAACCAAGAGCTGCTCAACCGACTGAGCCAGCAAGGTGCCCCATATATGACTGTATTTTTGTAACAAATTTACATAAAAGTTCATAAGTAAGATTTTAAAAGATTTAACTCATCATTGTAAGGATAACTACAGATAGGACTCCTGTAAGCTAAAATCTATTGTAACACTAATAACTGCTATTGCTATTATTATGGCTATATTCAGTTTAGTTTGCAACAGAAGAGCATTTTAGATACATTTCTGATGAAGAATGAATAAGGCTAGGAAGGAAACGGTATCTTTCCCAAGCAATTCCAAATGTGATATTTGACTCTGATTTCCCATTTAGTTCCAAAAAGTGTTTGAGTCAGGAACCATGATGGCGGTATTTCTATTAAACAATAAATAATTTTTGAGCACCTCCTATGTGCAAAGTCCCAGCCCAAGCAAAGAGTATGAACTCTGTCTTCACATATGGTTCGTTAGAGTCAATGAGTTTATAGCTTATATAAGTTAGCCTTTTATTGTATATTTCTTTTATAGGTCCACTACCTCTCATTTTTGTAGTCTTTTGTCCTCAGCTTAATATAAAGTTTCTCAAAGCAGGATAGATTTGTATATTCTCAGAACCTATCTCAGCACTGGCTGATTGGAATTTGTTCCAGTGGGACAAGGGACATTTCTTTCCTTGTGGTATGGCTTATATGTAAATCTACCCATCAGTATGTTCTAATAAGAAAGACTGTCTACATTCAAGTATTTATGTATTTTGTTTCTCGGGGTGGGAGGGACAAAATTGTGTGTATTAAGACAGGTAATGAGGAAAAAGAGTCAGACTTTGATGATAATTATTTGAGAAAACATTATGGCTAGAATAATTTGTAGTTTTACTAAGGGAGTGTGATGATGCATAGCTATATAAAAAATCTAGGGGGGCCTGGGTGGCTCAGTCAGTTAAGTGTCTGACTCTTGATTTCAGCTCTGATCATGATCTCATGGTTCATGGCATTGAGCCCCACGTCGGACTCTGTGCTAACTGGGATTCTCTCTCTCTCTCTGCCCCTCCCCCCTTACGCACACACATGCTCCCTCCCCCCCGCTTACAAAATAAATTAATAAACATTTTGTAAAAGTCTCGATATAAAGGACTCCTGTTACAATACTGCACCATGGACTGATTGTTTCAGAGCAGTGTCTGGGCACAAGGACGTCCTACTTTCTTACACTCTAAAAGGACAGCATTATAACATTCACAGGTGATCCCCACGAGCACCATTAGAGAAGGCACAAGTATATTTAGACTTTTCTTTGGTGAGTCTCAGGGCTCCATGTGAGTGTTCCAGAGGCTCTGTTGACCACAGAAGCTGAGTTTCATAATGCACACGCTGATTGTTCCCGGGTAAGCCTGGATGGCATCATGTCTTTCAACGAACAAACGGGGCTGGGGGAGAAGAGGTCCTGCCTGCTGTTTAAGGAGGAGAGGAGAGTGGAAGGCCTGTGTTCTGTTGCTGTTTGGCGGTGGCCGGAGGGATCAGTCTCAGCCTTTCTGAGAGGTGTGCTGCCTGCCCTCTTTCCTCTGCCTTCCTCCCGGCTGTCCGGAGGGAAGCCTTCCGGTCCCTCAACATCACGGGACCTTTCTCAGCTTGAATTCGGATGACGGCTTGATTTGGTTTGGTTTTTAGTGTTTTGGGGTTTTGCTTTTTTACATTGTTAAAAACTAAGAAATACGTTGTTTTCTAAACAGGCCTACTATATTTGCCACATAAAAGTGTTTGTGATCATACAGTACAAGTTCTTATCCACGAGCCTTCAAAAAAAAAAAAAAAAAAATCACAGGGCCCGTGAAATGATACGCTTGAAAGTGTGTATGAATGTTCAAATGTGCATTTTTCTTTTTCTGGAGGAGAGCTCTCTCTTTCATCTAATTCCTAATCCTCAAAGGATTAAGAACTCTCTCTACAGCAACTTCAGGGATCATTATTTAAAGGAACTCCTTTCGAGCCCTGCGTCGGGCTCTGGGCTGATGGCTCGGAGCCCGGAGCCTGTTTCCGATTCTATGTCTCCCTCTCTCTCTGCCCCTCCCCCGTTCATGCTCTGTCTCTCTCTGTCCCAAAAAAAAAAAAAAAATAATAATAATAATAATAATAAAATAAAATAAAAAAAAATAATAATAATAAAATAAAATAAAATAAAATAAAAAAATAAAAAAAAAAAAAGAAAGGAACTCCTGTCCCAGGCCAATGGTCTTCTGGTCTCCGTTCAAAGAGCGTTTTGCTACTTTGTGAGGAGATAGTTTACTATTTACTGTTTTTGTGAGGCAGCTGTCCCCCTGTTAGACTGTTTTAACTGTGAAGCAATTCTGTATATATGCCAAGAGAATTTTCTACAGTGAAAGCTTTTCCACAAAAGAACGGGCTGTTTTGAACATGGATGGTATTTTCCATCCATGGAAATGCACTACATGAATGTTGCGGTGGGGAGAACTCCCCTGTCTGACTGTCCACCTTCTCTCTACTTCAAACCGCAGACACTTAATAGCTGTTTCCAGGCTCAGCTATAGATGTAGTCATTGTCTTGGGATAGCTGGATGCCTGTTTTCTCCAGTGACTCCTCTGCTCTTAATTCTCCCCTAGCATAGGTTCATTAAATACTGGAGTGTTGAATATCCCACCTCTTTGGAAAAATTACTCTGATGTTTTTCTCATGCGGTTTGTATTTGTTATATGAAATTGTCATGAAAATCATGACCGCAAAAGACTTACCAAGTGACCGGCCATGCTGCATGATAATGCTTGAGTTGAGCGAGCCTGGGAGAGAGTAAGCTGAAGGGGAGAACGGCCTTTGATAGTAACTCATTGGGCTCACAGCACCTCCTGAGTTTCCATTCACTGTTATCTGGCTCTGAGAAGAGAGTTGAGACATCCAGGCAAAGTGAGAAATATAAGGAACGCAACCGTGTGGATTTACATATCATGAAGAGCAATCTATCCTATTCTAAAAGAAATCAATCTTTTCTGGCAAATCATCAGAAAGGCATGACAAACCACTGGCTTCTCCCTATTGCAATCTCATTTAGTACTTTATGGGTCTCGTTTTGGTTTTTTGAGAATTTATTGTTTTGATTGATTTATATCTGAGGATATTATATCCCCAGCGAGATCTCAAGATACTTGTTGGAGATAGTCATATATGTGCCACTTTTATGTTTTTTTATAATGTTCGACCTGTGCTAATAACATAGTAGATATTCAATGGACACGTATTCTAATTGAATTGGATTAACTTAGTTCACAGAGGCTGAGCTCACCACTATTAAGGATGCCTCTCTATCCGCAACACAGCGCCGAGCATGGGCACAGGGGGAGATTACATAATGCATGCAAATGAGACGAAACATTAGTAAGAGCATTTGGTTAAAATACTTTACAGCTGAATACACACAAATACCAATAAAGAACCATCATTTGCGAACCTTTTCTACTTTTCTACTGATCCTAAAACAAATTAAACTTCTACAATACAGGCCTGAAATGTAGGTAGTCAATTACTTACATATTTCCTTGATTTGTCATTTTAAAGCTCATGTTTTGAAAATGGCCAAGAGTTAATTTAATTTCATATTTTTATAGCCATACCACATCTGCCCTGGGGTCAATAAATATTCCATCACAGTGATTGTGCTTACTGATTAAGTGCTTCTCTGAGCTATTACAGAAACCACTCTCCTGTCACAAACCACCATATCTTATAGGTCTTATACCTGAACAGCACTGGACATTCAAATGATCCAAGGCACTGGCCCACCCAAATGCCTCAGAGCCTGTCTAGAAGTTTGATAAATTACCTGAGAATATTTTTGCCACCTTGCCCAAATTGGTTTGGTTGTTCTTTGTAAATATAATTATGGTACTATTGCTATAATGTGTTACAATGAGTGTTAAAAGCAGAATTCTTATGAAAAACCATCATGTTACTGTGTTACTAAACTTAGAAAAGTTGGCTTGAATCCTATTTTGATAGTTTCAATAATATTGATTATGGGTTAAGAAAGTAAATATTGCGGATAGACTTCATCTTTCATCATGTTAAACGGACCAGGATTTTACTAATGAAATAATACCGTTAGAATTTTAGAAAATACTTTATTGTTATAGTGTAATACTTATTAGGAAAATCATCTCATGGACGACCTATGTGCAATTTGAACCGCAACTTGAAACTAAGTTCAGTTCCAGTTAGCTCTGATTGTGCCTGTAAGACTATATGTATGTAGGCCTTTCAGGCTCCTAAGGAGTCTTAAATATAGCAAATTGAATTGGTTAGTACATAATTTTATATGCTATTACTGTTCTGTATTTTTGGTTAAAGGCCCTACTATTCCTTGAAGTTTTAAAATGGAGAACTATTGAAAACATAGTAGAACATGGAGAATCCCAGGACCACTGAGCCTCTGGCTGTACTGACAGGTAGGGTGTTAGCCCTGCAAAGTGAAGGTTTTTTGTTTTGTTTTGTTTTGTTTTTTCTGTAGCCAGTCACTAATGGGAACATTTCATGGCAAAGTTTTATACCCAACCATTGAATGAATACTAAACCCCATTTAAGGTATTGTTAAGTATTTAAGAAAGATACTAAAAAGTCTTTTGTCTTCTATAATTGCGATGTCTTGAAAAGCATGTGACTTATACTATTTCTCCCTGCATGAAATTTTCAGGTTTATGACATTGACATGACATAAAAATTATGTAGCACAACTACATAATCCCTGTGCTACAGGCACCTGGGTGGCTCAGTCAGTTAAGCAGAACGGTCAGGGATGTCAGAGTCAGCTTCCTGAGCGCATGTGGGATGGTTGGGGAGAACTCACCGGAGGAGCAGGACAAGTCTGTAAGTGAGAGAGTCTGCGGTGTGGCTGTGGGCAGGGAGGACAGGAGCGAGGGGAAGGGGTTTGCAAAAAGCAGTGTGAAAGGCTTGGGGGGGGGGGGTGGTCTATGCAGGTGTGAAGGCCCCAGATCAGCAGGTGGTGACAGAGTCGGTGAGGCTGGGCTGGGGTCGCCGTCAGGTAAGAAGTGGTTCAGTTCAAAAGCACCACAGAAGGAAAAGCGTGAGGAGGCTTCTGGTGTGCTTTGCCTGTGAGCCCGTGAAGCATTTACCTCTGGCACATGGGCAGCTAAGTTCTGGTTTCCAGGCTGAGTATGAGGGAAACATAATAAGAGATATAAATTATTCAGTTAATAAGAACATCTCTTTTTGCAACGTGGCAGAGAAGGCTTTATTCAGCTTAATCATCAGCTGTATTTGCAAGCCCTTTTAAGAAATATATTCAAAGGATTAGTTACCGGCATTCAGTACAGAGCAAGCATGAAAAAGTGAGGAAAATAAATCCAGTAAGTGTTTTTGGAAATAAGACCAATTTTCATGTAGCACTGCGTTGTAATTTTGGGTGGGGGCTTGAGAGGCTTGGCATCATGGAATTTTTCCCTCAGAAGTTTTGTATTGTGTCCCTGTGACAGCAAAATAATATCAGGTCGTCTATTGGTCAGCAAAATTCCTTTCGCTTCAATAGAAAAATCTTAGAGCAGATTTCCCCCGACTGCCTCCCCCCTGGAAATAATCCCCTCCAAAAAAAACAGGTTACCCCATTTTTTTCTGACTTACAGATCTAAAGAACGATGGAACTAAAAACAATTAATTGGAAAGGATATTTTGATTTCACTATAAAACACTAGAAGAATTGAACTTTAAAATATCCTAACTGTGCAAATGGAGACACCTGTTTGTGAAAATGAAGTGAAGACAAAAACCAGCCCCTGATGGTGGTTAGAAGGTACCTTAGTTGGTTAGAGCCACTGTTGGTTTTAAGTCTTAGGTAAAGGAGAAAGAAACGGAGAAAAATAAGTTTTAATGCCTCCAAGGCTATATAACCCAAGAGGCTAAAAACCATGGTGGAGGGGCTGTCTGTCAAAGGAAGAGAGCGGATGGCCCATTACAGGCTTTCTAGCTATCTCTTCTGACCATTGTCATGTCTACCCACACATGTCAACTGTGATGATAAACATCAGCCTCATCATGAGTAAATGAAACTTTGAAGCAAAAAAGAATTTTTTTTTCTTAATTCTTCCTTTACCCCTTCAGAATAGAGGTTTTTTTGTTTTGTTTTTGTTTTTATTTTTGAGTGTTTGGTGTGGTGCCAGTTGTAAGACAGATAGCCAGAAGTATCGCAGGACATTAAAACCAGGGTGAGGAATGAATCAAAGAAAACTGTATAAACTTAGAAATCTTGCCTAGGAAAAGTTTAGGTGGTACTATTTGGTGTTCTTGGCCAGCCAGCATTTTCCTAACAGTTGGTGCCATACAACTGTTCCTCTCATAAAAAGTCATAATTAATTTTTTTCTTCAGCCTTTTGAACAAATACTTCTAAAACAAATACGTAAAAAGGTTTCTCTTAGTCACAGATAGCTTAAAAAATGTGATGAAGACTACTGACTCTTCTCTTAAGAAAAGTGTACAAATTCATGCCTACATAAAATTCCACATAAACTTTGGGGATTGTGGATACCATAATCTAACAATCTAATTTCTTAACTTGTTCGATTAATCTAACAAGTTAAAAAATTCCAACCCTGGATAAAAAGACAGGTTTCCTTATCCTATTTTTATTTAATATGATTGCTGTTGTTGTTGTTTAGACACACTTGTTTTGAAAGTGATACTTTTTTACTGTCTCTACGGTTTTTTTTTAAATGTTTTATTTATTTTTGAGGGAGCGCAAGTCAGGGAGGGGCAGAGAGAGGGGACAGAGGATCTGAAGCGGGCTCTGTGCCGACAACAGAGAGCCTGATGTGGGGCTTGAACTCACGAACTACAAGATCATGACCTGAGCCGAAGTTGGACGCTCAACCAACTGAGCCACCCAGATGCCCCCTTTACTGTATACAGTTTTAAAATCTCTAGAATTAACTGACAGAAATCTCCAAGTTACCCAGAATTTAAAATATTCTCGTAGTAATGTATGCATGTTATTATTACATTTTTATAATAAAGTAAAATTACACTATTATGAAGTAAAACTATAATATTATGAAACTACAATAATTACAATTTAAAACGCAAGGATTTTGCTAGAATTCTGAATGCAATTCAATACAAGGCTATCTTGGGTGAGTACGGTGTCCATGGAATTTCTCATAATAATGTAATTCCGCTGAAGAGCTTTCCATGTAACATGGGTCTCTTTAGTTTTGCTTATGCTCAGTGAAAATTCCGTTAAATAATATAAATCATGCCAAAGGATTTGAGTTATCTGCTCAAAGGAGTTCTTTCCCCTTCAAAATTAAGAGGAAAAGCTAATGACTGTATCTCTCCCTGGATTGGCTTACCGTATGTATCCTTTTGGACTTGAAACATGTCAAATGCTAAAGCAGATTGTCTCTAAAACCACGGTTGTCATGGGTAATATGATCAGTTTGTTTGTGTGGCATGGTGTCTAGGAATGGTCTCTATCCATTCATTTGTTCTTTCAAGAGCTTGTCTGCAGAACTCTTTCACTTTGCGAATTTCTCTCCCTACCTCCTGATATGCTCACAATTTTGAGTCCTAATGCGCGTGTGTGTAACAGATGGAATGCATCTTGGTGAGTCATACCACATTTAAATTGCTATAGATGAAACTTAAAAAAAAAAATCAAGTCTATAGGTTACTCACACAAAAGCTTTGAAATAGCTTGCCATAAAGATGTAAATTACATCTTAGACTAGTTTTTTGCCTGACCCTGGTCTCCTCGTTGATGAGATGCCCTCTTAGACACAGCAGGAGAGAAAACCACATGCTACATGTTTCTCTGAGGAAAATGTGATAAGAGTGGGGGGCAAGAGCCTGAAAAGGGAAGAGGATTGAAAAGTCAATCCAGACTACTTGGAGTAGGAAACATTAACGTAAAAAACAAGAGAATTTGTTTTCCTGCTGAATTTTGTGGCAGACAGACAGATGACTGCAGAAAATCACCATAGTTGCTTTGTGTCTCCATCTTCCAAGACATGTAAGGTTAAGGTGCTTGGCTGTAGGCCCACAGTCCCCAACTTTTGTGGGTATAAGTTCCTTGTCACTTTCTCCAACGGTTGAGCTGGGAGGGAGAGAGGAGCTAGAGACACCAGTTTGCTGCTGCCTGGTTTCTACAAAGGAAAGGGATAGCGTTTAAACCCCAAGGTACTCAATATTCCAAGAGAGAGCAGCATTGAACCTCTGGGTCCGCATGAATTCAACCCAGAATGCTAAGGTGAAGTTGTGGATGAAAGAGATCACTAACTCGAGGCTGGACTCCTTGAGGAACTAAGGAATGAGGCGGCTCAGGAAGGATGAGTTTCAGCAGCGGAAAAGGTGTATTGGTCGTGTGTAGGCCTTGCCAACTCAAGTGCCTACCCAGGGCCAGGAATGTACCCAGAATGGGTAGATCAGGTCAGGCGTTAGATAAGAGGGAATAGTGAGAACCACAGTAGGATGGAGAAGGCATGTTCCCCCTAAAGGCGGCCAAATTAGAAATAAAATAAACCCCGTGGCAGGCCAGCCAAACGTATCTATAGTTACAAGGCCGTGGGCCGTCAGTTTGCTGACTCTGTAGATCCAGAAGCTGGAGGTGAGAAAAGGGTCGTCGGCTGTGGGCTTGGTATAAAGCTGGGGCACAGGGAAAGGAAGCATAGTCTGGCAACTCCAGGCCTCAGGGGACATGAGGAGACCCTTATCTTGGGTGCAAAATTGAGAGGAGTGACAAAAATTCAGTACCTGGGGGGGGGACCTGGGTGGCTCAGTCAGTTCAGTGTCTGGCTCTTGATTTCAACTCAGGTCATGATTTCACAAACTGTGAGATCGAGCCCTGCGTCAGTGTCCACACTGAGCATGGAGCCTGCTTGGGATTCTGTCTTTCTCTCTCTCTCTTTCTGCCCCTCCCCTGCGCATGCACTCTCTCTCTCTCTCAAAATTAAAAAAAAAAAATGCAGTAATTGAGACAAACATTATTTTCATGCAATCTTAGAAAAAAAAATCAAAATCAACGTTCCCCCCAGAATCCATACAGAACCAAATGCCAAAAATTTAAATAACATGACAAGTCACACTGAAGACCAAGGAAAAAGGAAAAAATTGTATCCTGGATTTTTTAATGAAAGCAAACCCATCAGTAAAATTTCCCAAATCTTCTTTTTCCTGAACTCATTTTCAGTGGAGAGAATAGCTGTGTTAGACAATTTCCCCTTGACTAACAATGATCACAAAGAAGACAATTTTCAATTAAGAGGAAGTAAGATTATAATAAATTCTGTTTGTGTAAATAAAATATTGAAACGTAATGTTGGTTTTAATGCACCTACTTTTTAAACTTTCCAATATTTTAAAAATGACTTCAATGTTCTAGAAAAAATTAACAATACATAACAACATATATATACGGGCACGTATTTTTATTTCTCTCTTGGGCTCCAGTTGGCTTGACATGCTACTATGGTCTGGCACCTTAATCTTGTAGGTCTCCTTTCCCGAGGAGCATACAGAATACTTGAGAAATATCAAGCAACGGATTTGACTGGTTTTATTCTCTATTTTTCCATAGAGTAGACAGTAATTTACTTGAATAAAAAAATCTAGGAGGGAATTACGTAAGAATCAATCCCCTTATATTGAGAAATCATTTATATTTTGTTGGGTGTCATAATGGTTCTTTCATTATTTTTTTTCTCTTCACTCGTTGGATAAAGGTACTAAAATTTCTACTAACTTAAGGGAATGGTGTCTTATGTTGATTTTAAAACACTACCAGGATAACTGGAGTTGACCGTTGAAAATGGATGACCAAATAATGGAAATTGCTGATGGGTACTTATAACGGAGTTTTGTAATATAATTATCCATCTCATTGTTAAGACTTTGAATTTCCATAATTTTTAAATAAACAACTTAAGAATTTTTAGGAAAAATAAAAGTCAATCTTTA